ACCCGCTCCTCGTGAGGTGGCCCTTTGGGAGAACACGCCGCCCCAGCAGCCCAACCCTGGCACTGAAAGTGGCTGAACCGGGCGGGTGCCGTCCCATTCCATCCCTTCCCATCCCGTCCCATCCCTTCCCAACTCGTCCCGTCCCTTCCCATCCCGTCCCACCCCGTGCGCCGCATCCCGCACCAGGGAAGGAGTCGGTGCTGCAGCCAGGGAGCCTCCTGTGCTCATGGGGGGTGACCCAAGGGAAAATAGGACTGGGATGGAAGCACGTCCAGAAGCTGCTGCGTGCTCCCTGACATGTCCCATTGCAGAGCAGGACACTCGTCCCAGCAGGACAGCACTGGAGCGAGGGGGTGACCTTCCCCAAAATCAAGCACATGAGGCTCAAGCAGGGAAGACGCTGCCAAAACCTGGCTGAAGGTGAAGCAGAGCTGGACATGTGCACAACGCCTGCAAGAATGTGGCTGTGGTGGCTGAGGAAAGCCTCAAGATGGAGATTTGGGGCACAAAAAAAGTCCCATTAACCCATTTCTGCTGATACCCAACAACTCATTTCCACCAGCACTGCCTGAGCGGGCAGCACAGCGCCCGGAGCATGAAGGACCGAGGTGTCTCCATGTGGAGCCTCTCCCCCCCCAAACCCAACACCCTGGGTGCTGCTGCCCGCACCAGGAGGTATGGCACGAGCCAGGCAGAGTTCTGGGAAAAAATCAGGAAAATCACAGCAAATGCCCAGAGGAGAGTTGAGGTTTCTGCAGCTAACAGGCTCGGGCGAGCGCTTTCCAAGGAAATTCAATTAGGGGCTGGAGCAGCAACAGGACGCTCGGGTGGCAAGCGGCACAGCCCCGAAGGGCCTGCTTTGTTTTGCTCCAAATGAGAAACATTTGAAAAAAGCCAGAAATCCGATTCTTGGCTCTTTTTTTTTTTTTTTTTTTCTGTTTAAAGAAAGAAGAAAAAATGGAGTGTTTTCATGAGCAGACAAGTAACTATAAAAGAAAAGAGAAATGAATCTTTGGGTGAAAAAAAATGAATCTAGGATTTAAAAAAAAAATCTTTGGGGGCTTTTTTTCCCCCCCTTTTTCTCCTTTGCATTTGCTGTGCACAAATCTGCAACGAGTTTCATTTAAATCAGTGCTAGGATTAACACAAACCCTTTTATATTGACCTCGGGGTTGAGGGGGGGGCTTTGTTTCTCCCACCTCTCCGTGCAGGACTGAGCCCCAGCTCCTGCCTGGCTGGGGGGCTTGGGACAGCACCCAGGGGCAGCGCCCAGGAGCAGCACCCAGCACCCTGGGCTCACCGAGCGGAGCTTTGCTGCCCTGAAAGCTGCCTTGTTCGGGGCTCGGCCTCATGTTCCACCTCGGGGCAAACTCCTCGGGAACAGGCAGAAAGAATTAAAAAACAAAACCAACCAAAAAGAAGAAGAAAAAAAAACACAAAAAAACACAACGAGAAGTGCCTGTGTGCAAGCAACGAGGTGCAGAGCTGCTGGCGCCTGCGGCTGAGCCCGGACGTGGGCACGGAGGGGGGGACGTGGAGGTGGCCCCACGCAGAGTTTGTCCCACTGGGAAGGGTGGTGGGAGGGAGGAGAGGCAGCCTGCAGGGCAAGTTCCTCCTGGAGGCAGTTTTGGGTCCAGCATCCTCACATCTCTTTGCTCCCCTAAGGGCAGCCCCGCTCACCGACCCCTGTCCCCCTTCTTCTGCCTCCCCGCAAAGGGAAGGAAGCACAAACCCAGTCCCGCCAGCCAGCGGGGTGCTGGTTTCTCCTGTTTTCAGCTAATTCCTCCGGAAAATAATTACACCCCACATACTTCACGTGAGCAGACAATTGCCTCTTCTCTCCAAGGCTCCTCCGCAAACTCCCTGCGGCTATTCCGAGGGCCGGGCTTGCTGCGTGCCCAATCCCCCGGGCAGGAGGAGGCTGCGGTGGCACGGGGCCCATCCCCAGCCATGCCAAGGAATAAAATCCAGGAGCAGAACTTCCTCTCCGGCTGGGAAACGAGACCGAGCACGGCGACACCATCCCAGCTCTGCCCACATCACCCTGGCTTCGCCCAAACCCCTCCAGCACCTCGGTTTCCCCGTTGATTTTTCCAGGCTTGGCATCGCCAAATTTTTGGGTCTGATTTGCGAAGGGAGACGAGCGAAAATTCCCAGGCTCCACGCTGCGTGACAGAGCCCCTGGAAAGGGCCCAAGAGATAACGCCTCTGCGCTGCAGCGTCACGAGGCCAAGCCAGCACCAAGCACAAAACAGCCCGTGTCCATTCATCCCTCAAAAATAATTAATTAATTAAAAAATGGTGCGAGCAAAAAAGCCCGAGCTCACGCCATGCGCCTGGGAAGCTGCTCTCTGGAGCCCTCCCGCCGGGTGAGGAAGGATGGGGAAGTTCTCTCGGTGTGGGACTGGGTCCCTGGAGCCTGGGGGGGGTGGAATTGGGGTGTCCTGGAGACCCCCTCTGCACGCCCCGGCTTTGGGGAGGGTCTAAAGGGGGCAATCTTGGAGCAACTCCACTCAGGTTTCCTCTCTGAGAGGAGCTGGGGAGGAGGAGGGTGGCGTGGGTGCTGGTTTGGGGCATAGGTGACACCCCACCACCGGGGTGCACCAGGTTGGGCACCCATGGGTGCCCCCAGGCTCCCTGACGTTGCCCAGCGAGGGCTCACCGAGTGCACGGCGCTCCCTTTAAACCCTGGCAAGGGCACACAAAAAAAAACTTTTTGCACGAGGCCAGGGCACGATCGCTTCCCCATTTCCCACCCAGAGGGAGCTGGGGGGGTCACCAGCACGGGGCAGCCCCTGCAGCCACTTCACCCCAACCCCTGCAGCACGAGGAGCTCAGCCGGGAAGCGGAGCCAGCAGCAGCCAGCTGGAAACACAGGGGGAAGAGACCAAGAGGACGCGTGCTCCAAAATGTGGGTCCGGTTGTGCCGTGGGCCAAAGCCAAGGGAGAGCGACCCAGCGGCGCTCGCTTGGGCTCGGCGCATCCCCGCGCCCGGTGTCACAGCACCCAGCTCCTGCTGCTCAGCCCCCAGAGCTGCAAGCTCTTTTTGGAGAGCAGGCAGAGCCCGTCCCGCGCTGGATTTGGCCCCTTTTGTGTCTGCTCCGACAGCGTGCTGCGGGGAGTTTCACCCCGTGCCAGCTCTGGCTTTTTTCTCTCCCCGTTTGGGCTTTCGGCACGGGTTTGCACTTGAGCCCTAGGCAGGGACCGGCCACCACGGGTCACCAGCACAGCTCCCCAGCCCCGACAGTGCCACCCCAGCATCTCGAGGTGCTCAGCTCTGCCCTACAAAAAAAAAAAACATCCCGCAAACCCTTCCATCCACTTCTCCACGGCCTGATCCTGCCCCGCTGCCTCCTTTTGGCCAGGGGCCCCCAGGAGACCGCTGTGGGCTGGGGAAGGGACCCAGCACCCCCAACCCCTCTCGGGGTGCTGCCATCGGGGCTGCACCACAGCCCTAACCCCTTGCAGCTCCCCCCCCTAAGGCACATTTTTAACCCCTTCAGCTTGCATCGGCCCCAGCCGGGCCCGTGCGCTTGGCACAGTGACAGGAACCGCTGCGAAGTTTGTGCTGCGAGCTCCCCGGGGGCTCGCCTGCATCAGCTGTGCTCGCACCGAGCCAGGCGTGCACACACGCACGCAGGCAGGAGCGGGGGCACGCGCGCGGCCGTGCACGCGCACACGCACACGCGGACCCTCCTGGAGAGGTCCACGACCCCCCCCCCCCTCCCCGGCTGCGTGCACACGCATGTGCAGACGGACACACGGACACGCTCACAGCCACACGGGCACACACGGCCACGCGCTTGCACGCGCAGAGCCCTGCACACGCGCACGCTCCCAGCCATGCGCCCCCCCGCCCAGACCACGCACGCCCCGGCCACGCACACACTTTCCACCCCAGCCCCCCCCCAGACCATGCACACACCTCACCAGACCCCCCCCAGACCACACGCACACACTCTCACACTCCCACACTCTCACACCATACCCCCCAGAAGCCAGGCACCCCCCCCAGCCACGCACCCCCTCCAAGCCCTGCAGCTCCTCACAGCCCCCCCAGCCCACCACCCAGCCCCCCTGACCACGCTCACACACACACCTCTGCACGTCCCAGAGCTGTGCAAAGCCCCCCAGACACCCCCAGCCATGCACCCAGACACCCCCAGCCATGCACCCACACACCCACTCCCCCCTGGACACCCCCAAACACACACCCCTCCCACTCCCCCTACATCTCCACACCCCCCCACACCCCCCCCAACTGCGCACCCAGACACCCCCAACCACACACACATACACTTTTCCCCCCCAGACACCCCCAGCCCTGCACCCCAACACCCCAAACACACCAACGCACACTCCCCACTCCCCCTACACCCCCACTCCCCCCCCAAACACCCCCAACTGTGCACCCTGACACCCCCAGCCACACGTGCACACTCCCCCCACCCCCAGCCACCCCCAGCCACGCACCCCAACACCCCCAAAAAAGCATCCTAACACCCCCAAACATCCACCCCCACTCCCCCTACACCCCCACTCTCCCCCCAGACACCCCCCCATGCACCCAAACGCCCCCCCCCACTCTCCCCCACTTCCCCCCCCACTCCTCTTTTCTCTCCCCCCCCCCCCAATACCTGCCGGGGGCGGCTCTGCGCGGCGGGGCTCCGGGCGGCTCTGCCGGTGGCTGCTGGCCTGGGACATCGGAGAGGGGCCGGGCGCTGCTCGGGACACTCGGCTCATGCACGGCCCCCCCCGGCCGCCCCCCCCGCGGCCCCCTCTCACCTGGGCCCCCCCCGGGGGGCAGCGGCTCAGCCCCGCACCGCGCTGCGCCCCCCGCGCATCCCTTTGCGCTCCCGGCTGCGCGCACGGGACCCTCGCGAAGCGCTGGTTTTTTTTTAAAAAAATGTTGTTTTTTTGTTTTGTTTTGTTTTGTTTTGTTTGTTTGCTTCCCCAATTCCTTAAAAAAAAAAAAAAAGCCGCGAGAACAACCAACCAACCAACCACCCGCGTCAGCCGAGCAGCTCCGTGCAGGAGAAGGAGGAGGAGGAGGAGGAGGAGGAGGAGGAGGAGGAAGAGGAGGGGGAGGAAAAGTTTCTTTGGGGGCTGGAGCCGGGGAGGGGAGAGGCGCAGGGCAGGCAGAGGCTGCCGGGCCCCCAGGGCCAGCCTCCGGCCGGGGATTTTTCGGCCTGGGGGGGGGGGGTGGGAAAGCGGTGGGAAGAAACTTTTGGGGCTGGGGTTGGGGAGGTGCCACCGCCCCGCGGCCCGGCTGCGGAGCCAGGAGGGTCCCAGCGCCTGGCCGCAGGAACACAGCCCCCGGAGAGCCGCCCCCCCCCCGACCCCCCCGTGCCTCAGTTTCCCTACGTGGAAGCAGCCCCCGGAGCGAGCCGGGCTTTGGGGCTCCCCCCCACAGCACCAGGATTTTCCAAGGGGGACAAACCAGGGCGTGCTGTGTCCCCGCAGGGACCATTCCCCTGCAAGCCCCGGGGGGGACATTTTGAAGGTTGATTTCTTTTTTTTAACAGCCTCACTTTTTGCTGCTTTCTACCCCCAAAGCGTAGGGCTCCATTTTGCAGTCTGGAGCTACGGCTGCAGGATGCTGGAGCAGGGCCGATGGAGCGGGGTGACACCCGTCCCCGTCCCTCGCCCCACTGCCTGGCGCTGCCATCGCCCCGCTGCCATCCCCTGCCCCGTGTGTGAAGCTTTTAGGGTGTCGAGGGGTCGGGGGAAGGTGCTGGGACATCACCACCGCAGCCACATGTTAAAGGAAAGGAGTTGGGAAGGGGAAACGAGGGGGGCTCAGGCCCTTTGTGAACACCCGGAGGATGGAGAGGGTTGGGCGAGACCGCAAAAATCCACTCTGCTCAAAGGCAAGTTGGCACTACCAGGGTTTGTGCTCCTTCCAGGCCTGCACCCTACAAAATGGCCCTAAAACCCTCACCAGCAGCATCCTGCCCACCCCGCTGTGCAAAGCACTGCACGTCGAGGTGCCTGGGGAGATGGACACCCTGACACCGACCCCACACGCACAGGGTGCAGCGTGGGGAGCACCACGGGGCCACGCGCCCACCCTCCTGCCCTCACCACCTTCACCGGGGGCGCAGCGTCTGATGGCACCGTGCTGCCCCATCCCCGGCACCCCCCGTTAAACCCCGATTTCCACGCGCAAGCAGCACCCAAGCTGGGATCAGGGTGTGCTCACACCGGTGCATGGGGCCGTGGGGTGTGCCGGCATCGCCGGCTTCTGAGGCAGTGCCTGAGTCACGGTGCGGCCCCGCCGGCCCCGCACGCTGCCGTCGCACATTCCTGCCTCTTTTCCTGCCCTCTGACACCCGCCAGCCCCAGGGGATGTGGCACAGGCCAGCACCCAGCAGGACCCAGCAGCCCCAGCATGGCCCAGGAGCAGCCGGCGGGGGGGAGAAGGAGGAGGGCGGCTGCGATGCTCTGCCTGGGGGGGCGCCCGGATTTGGGAACCCGGGGCCACGTGCTTGGCTCGGGATACGAGGCTGCAGCTCAGCACTTTCCTCTGTGCTGACAGCTGGGGCTGATAACCCACAGGAAGGAATTTGGGAGTGCTGGCGAGGCTGAGCCACGGCTTCGGTGGCCCAGCACCACCCCTGGGTCCCCGCGGTGGCTGCGCAGGCACCGGGGCTTTGTAGGGTTGCTTTGTAGGGTTGCTTTGTAGGGTTGCTTTAACTTAGGGACTGCAGCAAGGTGGGGGAGAGCACTGACTCGAAAGCCTCTTTGAGGACACAGAAACACGAACCTGACTTTGGGGCTCCTGGAGCCTGATAACCCCCCCCCCCCCCCATGGGCTGATAACTGGGATTTGGGGGTGCTCCCCTTCCTAACAACACCAAAACCAAAGGCAGGACCTGACACCCCACACCAGCCCTACACCCTCCCTTCTTCCACCACCCAAATCCCTTAGCCACAAGGCGAGCTGCCGCCCCGGTACCTGCTCCTGGTGCCTGGGCAGGGTACATCCCATCTCCGTGCTGCCGACACGAGGGCTGGCAGCGGGGCTGCTCCCTGCTGCCTTACCCCAACGCTCTGCCCTCCTCTGCCAGCCCCCAGGCTGCTCTGCCTCCTCCCCTTGGGCTTTCCAAACTTCTCTCTGCATCCCACGTTCACGCAGGAGGTGACATTTGGCCAGCACAGCCCCAGCCTTCCCCAGACCTCTCATTAGGGCTGCGTCGGGGACGGTTCGGGCACGTCACCGAAGGCACCCGGTGGGGCGAGCGGCTTGGCCGGCCCTGCCACCACTCTCCCACGGAGCACCCTATAAAAAAAAAACCCGTGGCCACTCTGCACCGCAGTTGCCCAACGGTGACAAAACCGGCCCCAAAATCCCTCCCTCGCCTCGGGCAGGGCCGTGTACCCCACGGGCCCGTCCCCGTGCTGCAAAGCCCTGGGGAGAGGCGCGGGGCCGTCCTCGTCCCAGCGGATGCAGGCGTGCAAACGAGTCCAGCCTGTTCTCGCTCCTGGGTTAACTTTACTCCGCGGTGCCAAGCACTCGGCGAGCCGACGGGAGTGTTTTCTTCCCGTAAAAAACAAGTATTTTTGCTCAGAGCGTTGTCCCCTCTAAAGAAAACATCCCCCGAGCGGTTGTTGGCAGGGTGCTGGGGTGGGCAGGGGGAGGTTTGCGGGCGCCGTGCAGCAGCAAAGTCAAATCCTGCAGGGAAAATACAGCCGGGGCTGCTGCGCCCCGAGGAGCTGGCTGGATTTTGGAAAACAAGGCCGGTTATGTAGGTGTGGGACTTCACTGACCCACATTCACAAGCATCTGGCAGCAGCCTCCGCGCCGGGCTCGCACGGGGCGGCCGCGGCCAAAATAAATCCTCCCCAGCTGCTCCCGGCTGCGGGGTCTGCGCCCCAGCTTCTGCCTCCCCCCCAAAAAAAAAACCAGTGAGGGGAAGGGGAGAGGAGATTTCGGGTAGCTGAAAAGCCCCCCCTGACCTTTCCGACTCGGCAAGGATTTAGAGCTAAGCCCCAACTTCGCAGCTCACCGGGGAGGTTTTGCAACACCCACGGGCGGCTGTCCCGCGGCGGGCCCCGTGCTGGTCCGAAAGCAAAACAAATAAATAAGAGAAAAAATGCCTGGATCCGAAAACAACAACCAAAAAACCCCAACCCAACGCCCCCCTGAGCGCGCCGTGCGGTCAACCTGCCGTGAATGGGGCCGTAGATTTCGGCTGGGTCGCAGCACAGAGCCGGGCTGTGCAGCCCGAGTTGTGTTTGCTCAGGGCCCAAGCCACAACCCCCCGATCTGCCGAGCAGAATTACCCGCGGCTGGGCTCAAACACACAAAAAAATCTCGGCAAAATAACCTTCCCAAAAGCAGGAGGGAAGGGGAGGAGGGGAGCCCGCTCCGCTGGGTCCGCAGTGAATGACCCCACTGTTTTACATTTGCTGCTGAAAGATTTTTGATGAGTCACGAGCTATTTCTGTAAATAATAAAAAAAAAAAAAAAAAAAAGGAAATGGACATTTTTTTAAAAAATAAATAAATAAAAAAAGAAGAAGGGCCCCACGAAACATTCGTCTTTTGAAGATGGAAAAATTAAAGACTTCCCCCTCCCCTCCGCGCCGCGCTCTGGCCCCGGGGGCTTTGTGTGCAGCTGGCAGGGGCGCAGCGGCACGCGAGGGTCTGGGTCGGGCAGCACCGTGCTGCGCGTCTTGGAGAGACCCCCACCGCTGCCACCCCTTTGGGGACCGCAGGGGACCATGGCTGGGGCTCACCAGGGCAGGGGGCTCAGCTGCTTGGGCTGCCCGGGCTTTGAGCAGCTCCAGGGGTCCCACGGGTGGCCAGATTTGCTCCTGCTCCCCAACAAACCCCCTTTGTTCTCCCTCCCCATCCTGGTGTGCAGGGAAGCGCAGGTTCCTGGTGAGGTTTGTGGGTTTTCTGCCCGGCCCTGTAAGAGGTGAGGCGCTCAGAGAGGGCAGCATGGCAAAAGTTGGCGCGTGCAGCCAGCCAGGCGGCATGCTCCATCGCTTCCAGGTTGTCTTCTTCTTGGCTGCTGAAGCCCAAATTACTCTTCCCATCACTTTTTATTTCAGCAATCCTGACCCTCAGGCTGAAATCCTCAGGTTGTTCCAAAACTGCCACCAAGCCTGGGTGATGGTGACACCGAGGTTGGGGTGCGCCTCGCACCCATCCTGGCACACAGCAGCGAGGAGCTGAGCCCCCTTTGCCCCTCGGACCCCCCCCCCTGTGTTCCCCCTGCTGTGAAGGGCTCTCAGCTCCGGACACGCCGTGACACTGGTACTGAATTGGCCGCGCTCTCCATCTCTCCGCAGGGAATACTTTGCTGTCTGAGTGGCAAGAGGAAAATAAATCAGCTGCGCGCAGTCAGAGCATGTCCGTGGGCTGCTCTTACAGTAACTCGTTTGTGCCCTGTCTGGGGTGTAAAAGGCCAGGGGCGTGCACAGGCCGAGAAGCAAAACCAGTGCAAAAGAGCCGAAAGCACGGCGCAAAGCCGCTCGCCGCTCCTTTGGCCACATCCCTTCCTGACCGCAGTCGTTGCAGTTCCTTCATGCTGATTTAAGAAAACGCAACAAAACACCCAAAAGCATTCCCTCCTTTTTCTTTCTTTTTCTTTTTCTTTTTTTTTTTTTCTTTTTAACTATTCGAAAGCCGGCCCAGCTGCGCCTATCCAGATTCGTTTGTTACTGGTGGCAACCTTTTAATTTAATGGTGGCAGGGATGAAGTGGAGTAACCGGTGTGGCGATGGGAGCGTGGTGCAGGTTCAGGGACGCACACGCTCGCTCCGAGGCAGCCACTCACCTATGGCACATCCCAAAACGGGGCTCAGCTCCCAGCAGAAAAGCCCGTTTTGTGCTCCAGGACTGGATAAACTCCCCCAGATTTCAGGCAGAACATCAGGGCGGTGGGAGAGGAGCACCCAGCAGCACCCAGGAGGGGAGAGCCGCGAGGAGGAGAAGGGTTGGGTGCCTCCTGCCTGCCGTGTGCTGCGTGCTTGGGGTTGCTCCGGACCGGGGTGGCTGCTCCCAGTCTCTTTTCCCGGCCGCTCACTGGTTTAGCAATCAAACCAAGCCAGCTTTCATGTTCCTAGCAAAGGAAAACAAAACAGAAAGAAACAACACACACAAAAAAAAAGTTTAAAAAAAAAAAAAGGGGAGGGGGGGGGAAATGTTTCAGCTTGAAAAGCGACGAGCTCTTTCTCCAAGTGTTAAATCAATCAAAGCCACATGCTCCCCCCAGCGATCCGCAGCCCGTGCCGAGCCCCACGCACTGTGGGAGTTGAGGATGGGGTCGGGGTCTCTGCGTGGCTCCTGCACCCATGGGTGCTGGCTGAGGGCTGTGTCTGGGGGGGGTCCTGTTGGCACGGGCACGTTCAGAGCGCCCCAGGAAGACACCGGCGAGCTGGCTGCGGTTCAAAGAGCCCTGGAAAAGGCCCACTGGAAAAAAGATTAAGGAAGTTTGGCCGAGACGGAGCAGCGGAGGGAAAGGGGATATAGCAGTCTATTAATATTGGCAGGGTCTAGACGCAGATGGGAGCGAGCCATCTCGCTGCGCTGCGGAGCAGGGGGGCTGCGAGCTGGCCGGGGGCCACAGCGGTGGCCAAAACCTGCTCCCAGCCCCATCCCTGTCCCTCTTGGTGCTGCGGCTCCAGCTGGGACTCGGAGCACGGAGATTCAGGGAGAAAAAATAATAATACAACGGCCTAAAGCTCCTGGTGGCAATGGGTTCCCCGTGAAGTCGATTCCCCGGTGGCGGTGCCAAAATCTCCCCGCTGTTGCTGCGTTTTGGAAAGGGCAGATCCCGAGGCTGCACATCTGGCCCTCGTTTCGGAGATGCGTGCCGAAAGCTTTCAAAAAAAAAAGAACTTCTGCTCCTCCAGCAGCGGGTGCTGAGGCGTCAGAGCTGCCCCTCGCTCGGTGTCGGGATGAACCCAGCTCCGTGTGTGCCCCTGGATGGCCCTGGGGGGACGTGGGGGCTGTGGGGTGGGTGGGTGCTGGGTGCCCGCTGCTGCTGAGTTCAAAAAGCCTCCAAAAACCAAGCACTGAAGCTACTGAAGGTGCTGGTGGAGGCGCTTTGGCGCACAACTGGTCTTTAACAACAACAAAACAGGAGCAGGAAAATTTCCTAAGGGCAGAGGCAACAGCTCTTCCTTACCAGTTGTTAACTTCTCAATTATTGGTTTTCTGTTTGGTTTTTGTACTGGCAGATCCCCCACTGCAAGGGAACTCCAGCGCCCATCCGACCACTCACCTTCTTCCCAGCCTTTGGAAAAACCCTTCCTGTACCGGCGGGATGGAGCAGGGGCTGCTTGGTGCACAGGGTGAGGAAGAGGAGGGACACCACTGCTTGAGCTGTGCCTTTCTTGGGGCCGCTGCTGCTTCATCCCATCCCATCCCATCCCATCCCATCCCATCCCATCCCATCCCATCCCATCCCATCCCATCCCATCCCATCCCATCGACTCGAACCTGCAGAGAAATCCCGAGCCAGCTCGTGCTGGGAACCCCCAATCCCTCTGTTTTCAGCAGCTCACACCGATTGCACCCACAGACTTGGGGGGAGGAATTAAACCAATAACTTAAAAATCCGAGAGCGATGCTGCAGCCCCGAAGCCAGGCAGCAAAGCCCAGGGACAAGCCAAATCCCTTCCCTTGGCCATCCCCTCGTTGCTGAGGAGCCCACGGGGATGAAGAAAGCCAAATAATTCCCCCAGCACCGTGAGAAAGGCAGGCAGCAGCGATAGGTAATTTCTTTTATTGCATTTTATAATGCCGTTGTCCATACAGATTACATGCAGCTAGACCTACTGTACAAGGGTTTACCGTCTGCCAAAGCAGACACACGGAAGTTCGGAGTACAAATACACAGCAATGCTATTTCCTTTATACAGCACGAGGGAGGTGGCGGCGGGAGGGGAAGGGGGCTTTATACACGTCCCCCCCCCTCCGCCTCCCCTCCTAGCCCCAGCCCTCGGCCCCCCCCGGCCCCATCTGTGGGGTCGCCGTCCCACCCGGCGCCGAGGAGGAGGATGGGGGCAAAAAAAATGGGGGAGAAAAAGGAAAAGGAGGCGGCTGGGCACGGTGCTACCCAGCCCAACGAGGGGGGAGCAGCGCCGGGACCCCCCCTCCCCGCGTCCCCTCGCCCCTCCTGGGCTGCACCAAGCAGCGGCCCCGTGCCCGTCAAGGGGTTTCGCTGGGGCTCAGGGGGTCCCCAAACCCCCGGTTCTGGCCCCGTTCCCCACCTTGCACAACTTTTCCAGGACAAAAACCTAGATTTGGGGCTTTTTCTGGCGCGGGACGGTCATGTAAACAAAGCAAAGAAACCCTTTGGTTTAATGCAGTTGGGGCTCCCCTCCCGGCAGCACCCCAGCCCCTGCCCCTGGGCTCCCTTCCCCACCCCGGCTCTACCAATTCTAGCTATCCTGCGACAAAAAAAAAAATAAAAAAAAATAATAACATCATTAAAATAAAATAAAATTAAAAAAAAAAGAAAGGCCGACACAGAAAACGGAGTGATTCCTTCAGGACACCAGTGAGAGAGACCAGCAAAATGCCTTTACTTACAGAGAAGTGCCCACACCGCTCCGCTCAGCGACGCCCCGCCGGGGGAAAAGCGGCAGCAAACGGAACGAAAAAAAAATCCCAAATAAAAAGCAAACAGTCCGCGGTAGTAAGGTTTCAACCCAGTATATATAAATCTCAGTATATACAGACGTACAACTCTGCCACACGGTGCGTTTGGTCCTTGATCCTTCCTTCTCTCCCCTCCCCGTGCGCCAGGCGCGTGTTTGAGGTAAGACGGGCAGAATTTGGTACAAATTCACACCGGCAAAAATAAAACACTCGCCTAAGGGCGGCGGGGGCGGGCAGGGGGGGCCGGGGGCTCTGTACCTGTGTGTGGACGTGACCCTGCAGGAGCGGCCGGGGTGGGGGGGGATAGGGGGCACGGGAACGAAACCAATTCACCCCTGAGTATCCAAACGGGCGCGTTTCGCCTCAAATCCCCGGCCGCGATTCCCGTTTCGGCCGGGGGAGAGGCATGACTTGGAGCCACGTGACTTCCCAAATCTGTGCATGTTTAAAAAGAAAAAACAACGAAAAACCCTAAAAACAGAACTCCTTTATATTTATATATTTACTTTCATATATATATAATATATTTATAGTGCTCTCGTGAGCCGGGACCGCGGGAACAACCTAAATGGCGCGGAGGGGTCCGGGGGTGCCGGCGTGGAGCCCGCAGGCAGGTGGCTCGCCCTGGCTCTGAGGGGGAATTTTGGGGTCTGTACCGCTGGAAAAGGTAAAAAAATAAACCCCACAGCCCGAGCGGGAACCGTGGCGGGTGCTGGAGGGGCTCGCCAGTGCCGGGGGCGCTTCCTGCGTGGACCGCGCTTGGGTTTGGCCACGCTTATGGAAGAAAATGGGGTTGCAGAGGTGCTAACGAAGTAAATCCGAAGAGAGGAAGGAGCTTGGTAAAAGAAAAAGAAACTGGGGCAGGTACCAAAACTCCCAGCCTAAATGGAGAGGGGCGCCTTGAACCCATGCACAGCCTGGAGCCAGGTGGATGCCGGGCAGGAGCCACCAGCAAAACGGCTCCAGGGTGTCTGGGGGGGGCACATTTGGGCACCCCCACTCCTGCCTGGCACCCCCCTGGCAGGGCTGGGTGCCCCCGGCCCCATAGGGCTGGGATCAGGACCCCGCTGTTCCCTGCATCCCCTACAGCAGCATCAAAAAGTCCAGCAAAAAGGGATGGAGGGGTGGGAGAGGGGGGAAGGACCCCCAGCATTTCTATGGATAAAGCGAAAAAAAAATCCCCCGAAGATGGGAGGAAAAAGGTCCGGATGGATGCAGGGAGTCCTGCTGGGGGTGAAACACTCGGGGCTGTCAGAGCTGCAATGGGGAGGGGTCTGGGGGGGGGGTTCTGGGGGCACGAAATGCCGCGGAGGTGCCCACCCACCCCTCCGTGCTCCCACAGGGCAGGGCAGCAACGCGGCGGCTGTAAACTCGGCTAAAACAATAACTTAAAAATCCAAAAGCTGGGAAAAAAAAGAAAAAAAAAAAGAAAAAAAAATACAAGAAAAAAAAGGGAGTGGGGAACCCCGCCCCCAGGCTTGGCCCCTCTTTGGTGGGGACTGGGGTCGGCGAGCAGGGAGGCTGAAATTTGGGTTGTGCGCCTGCGATTTTGGCAGCGGCGATGGAGCGAGCGGGGCTGCTGGCGCAGGGAGAAACAGGGGGAGAGTGGAGACACCTAGCGAAGGCCGGCACGGCACGGCACGGCGAGCTGGGGAGGATTTTGCAGCTTTTTTGTTTGTTTCGTCTCATTTTTTGAAGGAATTTGGTGCAGGGGAAGCTGAGGGGAGGATGCCGGTGACCCCCTGTCATGGTCCCCAGCGGGGTGAGCCCACGGGTCTCAGCATCCCCTGGGTGGTGTGGGGGGGTCACGGGGGAACCCCCCCATCTCTGCAGCTGCCCGGTGCTGAGGCTGCAGTGGGCAGAGAGGAGAGGTCGGGGTGATCCCAAATAGGGGTGCACCCCGGGGGCGCACACTGCAGGGTCACGGAGCACCTCGGGAACATCACGGAGGTGACACAGGGGGGCAAAGAAGCGCCCCCCCAAATCCTGCTGGTCCTGGCCCTCCCTCCTGCTGCTGTGCCGAGGGCCCCCGTGCCCCACTTCCAACCCAAAACGCAGCTCCTGGAGCACCAGGCTCCCCCCCCAGGACCTGCAGGGGGCCAAGGACCCCCAGTCCCAGAGCGCGTCCCCACCCCACGCTACCGGGATGCCCCACGCAGCCCTGGCTCTGCCTGCTGTGAGGTTTGCAGGCAGAGAGGGGGCAAAAAAATTTGGGGGGGGACACCAGGACCGCTCTGGGGGCTCCAGCTCCCAACCCCGTGCTCCCTGCCACACACGTTTATGCCCCGCAGCAGAGGAAAACGGTCTGACCCTACAGAAATGCTGGAGCCAGGTGGCACCAATAGTCATGTCCTTCTCCGAAATACAGCCCGCAGCCCGGCTGAGCACCCCCTGGGCACAGAGGGGGGGGGGATAACTGGTCCCCAAGGCCAGTACGGGGCCCTGGGGGGAGCACAGCCCGGCCCCGGGTACCCCCATCACCACCAGAGAAAGAAAGAGCAGGGAGAAGAGGGGTGTTTGGTTGTGTCGTTCTCGTTATTATTAACATTTCTTTTTGGCATCAACACCATCTGGTCACCTGAACTATGGCCCTTCTGGCTCTGGACATCTTTTGGTATCTCCCCACCGGGACGCAGACGCTCGACGCGCACAAAAAGGAGAACGGAAAGGGGAGAAATGAAGGAACGGGGAGAGCCCGGGCTCCTGAGGGCACAGCACCGAGCACCCAAATCACCCCAGGACCCTTGGGGCACCCGGCCCGAGCCCCGGCTGGGGTTTCCCAGCTGGATTCTGCACGCCAGCCTCCTCGTGGGGGTCCTGCAGGACCACAGCCCCCCCTGGAGAACCCGGCACGGCTTCGGAGGAGGAACCGGGTGCACGGAGGACACAGGAGCCGTTCCCTGAAGCCCAACTCGCCCTCAAAACCATCTCAACCTTTTCGCGCCGAGGAGGAGCCGAAATTTTGTCCTTGCTGCCCGGCCAGGGACGGTCATCGTTGTCAGGATGCCACCAGCCCCTGGTGGTGCTGGGGACCGGAGGGCTCGGGGAGGACGGCACGCAGGGGTCGGGGACCTGGCGGTGGTGACCACGGGGTGACACGAGCCAGGTGGCACACGCAGGGTGAGGGTCCCACCGACGCTGCTCCTCATCCTTCCCCAACGCGAGGCGCAGGACAGCGGCGTAAAGCTGCAGCAGAGGGCTCGGCCCCGTTTCTGCGGATTCTTCCCCCAAAAGCTGGCTGGAAGGGGAAGATCCCCAGGTCCTCCTAGTGCAAAACCCGCTGGGGAACGGGGCTCGAGGGCGGGCTCCGGCCTCCTCGGGGTGCTCGATGGCAGAGGGTGGCACACGGGGTGCGCAGGGGACGTCCTGGAGCTGCGTGGTGCCGGCCCCCGCCACGCGCCACGGGGCCAGGGGACGGAGGAGCCTTCCTCGGGGCACGGGGAGGGAAGGAGGGACAATTTCGGACAGAAACAACCTACCATCCTCGTTCGCCAGTTACTAACCAAGGGAGGAAGGGAGACAAAGTTCACCTCTGGGGGTCTTTCGTTTCTCGTTTTCGCTGCACGTTTCCCCGCGCCGGGGACCTGTCAGCCGGGGAGGGGACGCGCCGGCAGCGGCAGCTTGCACCGAGGAAACCCTTCTGGAAACCTTTTTGCTTTGTGGAAGTGCCTTGAAGAAAACTGGTCGGCGCCGGAGGTCACCTTGGGGAGGTGGGAGCCGTGGCTTTGTGTCTCCAGGAGGGACAGGGTGGGGACGCGCTCGCCCCTCGGGCGGGAGGAAGGGGTCCTTAGGACAAGTCTTCCACCGGCAGCTCCTCCTCCAGGTCCCTGTCGTCGGCGATCGTCACATTCTGGTTGGTGGTGGCCAGGAGCGAGACGGGCCTGCTGTCGTCCTCGGCCTCGGCTGGTTCTTCCTTCACGTGCACTGGGTGGCTGCTGGGAGGGAGGAGAGCGGGGCTGAAAGCCTCGGGGACGGGGTCCCGATGGCCGCAGCAAGAGGGTCACCCACTCTCGGCGTACCCCGTGCTGCCCCTTGCCAGGGGGACACAAACCACAGGAGGCAACGAGCAGCTCCCAAACCCCCAAACCCCACGCTACCACCACCCTTTAACCCCAATCCCTCCTTCCCCTCGCACCCAGAGGGGACACGGGTGTCCCTCATCCCCCCAGCGGACCTGTACTGCTGCGGGGACAGGCGGGGGCTGTTGCTGCCGTTGCTGTTGACCTGCTCCACCGTGCTGCTCACGTCGTCGTGGCCCACGTGCAGCATCCCGCTGGCGGAGCTGGTGTTGATCATGGTGGGGCTGTTCAGCAGGGGGAAGCTGCTCTCCGCCAGCGCAGCCTGCAACAGAAAGCGGCTCGACGGGTGGCTCTGGCTAGGGGCGAGTGGGGGCAAGGGGAGAAATCGCCCCAAAATGGGGTTGCTACGGAGAAGCAGAGGCTTGGTGCTTTGCTGGGATGTGATGGGGGTCATGGGATTTTGCAGCCAAGATGGGCAAATGGGGTGAAATTGCTTTTGGGGCACAGCTGGCCGCATGCTCCCGGGTTTGGGGACGAGCCAGAGCATCCTCACCTGGTAACTCGCGTTAAGTGCTCCGTAACCGAGTCCTGAAATCATGTTTTTGACTAAAGTCGGACTCCTGCAGAAGACACAAAGCAGACCCATGCCCGTCTGAGCGCCCCTGGCCCCGAGGCGTGCCGGCTCAGCACCGGGGGGGGACACCCAAACCCGCACCCACCCCGTCATCTTTGGTGGCCTTCGCTTTTGGTACTCGTGCTCGTCGACGGTCCAGACGGCTCCCTTGACGTTCTCCACGCGCACGAAGCACTTGTGCAGGCTCAGGTTGTGGCGGACGGCGTTCTGCGGGTGCAGGAGGTGTCAGAGCTCGTAGCACAGCCCACGCCCTGCTGCCCACCCCCCGCCACCTCCTCCTCTTCCTCCTCTTCCTCCCCCAGCCCCTGGTGGTGCCACCACGGCCACCTGCAACTTGGCGGCGGCAGAGCCACCCGGGGCTGCGGCGAAACGCTCGCCCTGTGGGCACCCGGAGGGTTTTGGGAACCAAGGTCCTGAGCCAAACACAAGCCACGGCCCCGTTTTGTGAACCCTGGCCCAATGCCAGGCACTGAGGAAGATGGGACAAGGGACAGGGATGAGGGACAGGGACAAGGGACACGTCACGGCACCAAGGACCCCGGGGCACGGCCACTGTCTCCGCCGCAGCTCGCTGGGAGATGCTGAGCGAAGCTGGCTGATCTTCTCCTTTCTTTTCTTTCCCTCCTCACCCTCCCTCCCTTTTTTTTTTTTGGTCCTTTCCCTCCCTTTCTTCTTTACGTCGCCCATCTTTACATTTCTAAATGTAAAATAAAGAGACGCACACGTAGGCAGACAGCGCAGCCCCGAGAGATACCAGCTCCCTTTTCCCCTTCCAACTCCCTGCCATTTGCTACTGCCCCTATTTCATTACCAATTTTAATTTGCCTCTAATTAAATCCTGTGTATTTTTCCGACTCACTTGCTAATCCATGAGGGAGGCAGGAGGCTGGAGTGGAATCTCTCCGAGCTATAATTACAAAGGGCCTAATCACGCCGGGGCTCTGCCTTTGAATAAATTTCCTTGCATTAAGGGTCTCAGATTCTCTGCCTTGCAAATGAGAATGACCCCAATTTCAGGAAGTTGGCCTCGGAGGGTTTTTTTTTTTTTTCTTTCTTTCTTTTTTTTTTTTTTTTTATTTCGAGTCCTGATTCGTGATGAGAGACTAATTCGTTACGCTAAAACATTAACAGCAATTTAAAAGGTCGGACGGGGGCTGTATAAACAAAGGAGGCGGCCAACACAACAAGGCGAAAGGAGCCCAGGACCGAACCCCCCGTGCTGGGAAGTGGTCGAGTTCCTGGAAACTCACCCGATTGCACTGTCCCCCCCCCCCCCCCTTTTTTCTTTCTCATCTAAGGACAAAACCAAAGCTCGGCTCCTTCCCAAATCCTCCATCCTCCTGTCCACTGACTCTGTGTCCCCGTGGTCACGGTGGCCACCGGTGGCCCCGGCCGTGCCATGGTGCTGTGGCCAGCAGCCAGGGCCCCCCAGGGGATGCTCGGAGTGGGGCAAAGCCGGGTCCCCCCATCCCATCCCGCTGCCACCGCCGCTCTCCCTGGGTTCGGGACATGCCCCCCATCAGGGCAGCTCTCCTCAAGCTGCCGTCACCCTGAGCCAAACGGAAAATCCCAAAAGGGAAACCCCCAAAAAAACCACTTTGGGGCCAGAGCCGAGGTGAGGACGCAGCACCCAGCCCCCCCATGCGCCCCCAACCTAGGTCCCAGCGCCGGGGCCAGGATCCGGCCGCTGCCCTTGAACCCCCATCCCCTGGCGAGCAAACACAGGACTTCCTCCCCCCCGCCGGGGCCGGATCCTGCCCCACGGTCCCCTTCTTCCTTCCTGTGCACGCTGGGGGCTCCCCGTCCAAACAAAGCTGATTAAAGGCAGCGCCGAAGTCCCCCCCCCCCTCTGTGTGTGTCCCCCTCCCCGGACACCCCGGTGCCACCGAGGCATCGTCGGGGACCAGTCTGAGATGGAAATCAAATCACTGCTGGCACCTGGGGGGCTGAAAAATTACCCCCTGGCTGTCCCCCCCAAGCAGTGGTGGCCCCCAGACCAGCAGCAGCAGCCCCCCCCCCATGGCACAGGGGGCACACAGGTGGCACCGGCAGGCGGTGGATGTCACCAAAGCTGCCACCGAAGCTCAGGCCACCCCGGACAGGTGATATGGGGGGGGTAAGGGGGGGCTCCTGCCTGGTTTTCCCGTGGCTTTTGTATTTTCTCAGGGTGTTTGTTTAGTGCCAGACTCGGCTGCTCTGTTTGCTTCTCATCTTTGCCTTCTCTAATGATGTTTGCTTTATGCCCCCGGCCCCGTTCCCCCCGCCCCGCAGCGCTGGGCATCCCCCCGGGACCCTCCCCACTGTAGGGATGGGGTCCCCCCCTCGTCCCCTGCCTCATCCCGGGGGGGGGCAGCAAAGGTAGGAGACGAGGGAGGAGCCGAAATGTTTTTTTTTGGGGAGAGGAAATATGTTTTTTTTTTTTTTTCTGCGCATCCCCCTCCTTCAAAAGGAACCTGGCCTTGGGCACGGAAAGTTGCGAGGGGAATCGGCCACCCCCGGGCCCTTCTGAATCCCCCCCCCCATCCCTTTTGGTGACGAAACAGGAAAAAACAAAGCAAAAAAGGGAAATGCACGGGATGGGGGCAGCCCCCCTCGGAGACCACTGTGGTCCCTGCTCTGCCCCACGGCCAGACACCGTCCTAGGGGCAACGGGACACGTCCTACCGGCCCCACGCACCGTCCCCAAATCTTCCCATCCTGTCCCCAAACTGGGGACGGCTGCAGGGGCTCAGGGGGTTGCAGGGCCCCGTGCACAGCAGGGACACGGTGCAGCACGGCTGGGCTTGCAGTGCTGCCTGTGTGCCGTGAGGGGGACTCCAGGCTGCCACCGGGCTCAGTGAGCACCAGGCAGCGGCCGCCGAGGTGCTCGGGGTGAGCTGGGCAAGCCGGCAGGAGCCAAAACACTCCTTTTTCACCCCAAGTTTGCTGCCGAGACCCCCGCTCCTGCTCCCGTCGGCTCTGCTCTTTAGGAGCAACGCACGGGGACCCCGGGCTCCAGAATCACCAATTCCTCCTTCCCAACCTTGTTTGCTCCAATTTTGTGTCTTAAAATCTAAGTTTTAGTCGCTTTGCTTCGTGTTACTGTGCCGCGGGAGACAATAAATCAATCTCCCTGCTTGGGGTAACGACCCCTCTTTTCACAATAACCCCTTTCATCTCTAACATGTCTTTTTTTTTTTTTAATTCTCTCCAATTTGGTGCTTTCTAAACAACCAGCAAGCTGCACGATCCACATGTGCCAGCCCAGACGGGTTGCACCATGCCCAAACCACCCCCAGCACCCTGCCCCGGGATGCTGAGGGGTGCCCGCACCCTCCAGCACCCCGCAGGTCCTCCAAGAGGGACACAGGGGCTAAGGGACCCCTCTGGCTCCCTCCTTGCACCATAAAGCCCCAAAAACCACGACGGGAAGCTCCATGGGGGGGAAGGAAAGGCACCCGTTGGGGTCCTGCTGCTGGTCCCACCCCATCCACCCCTCGCCCAGCACCCGCGTCCCTGTCCCCGAGCCCCAAAGCCGCCTTTCGCCAGCTGCCATTCGCTGCGTGCCGCCAGCCCCCGGGTTATCATTAACCTTGTTTGCTATTTCGAGTGCCTCGCTCTCCTCTCTCTCCCCTTCTCCTGGCGCTGAGACGTGCTGGCTCTGCTCAACCCCCCCTCCCCGGCTCCTCGCCCTGCAAAGAGCCGCTGCTTCCCAAAACACAGCCCTTGGGGCGCTGGGATGGATCCCACCACACGGACAAAACCTCCCCAGAATCCAGGGATGGATTTCAGGGGGGGGAAAATGCTTGAATTTATCCATAAAATCATTTCCTACGTGATTTCAGAGCTCTGCAACGAACCAGTCCTCCAGCACGGGGTGGTGCCTGCACAAACCGGTGCAGCAGGGGACGTGGCCACCCCGCACGGGGGACACGCGAGCCCCGTGCCCGAGCGGGGGCTGCGCTCACCTTCCAGGTGGCCGTGTTCCTCCTGAAGTAGGCGAACATCCGCGTGAACCAGTTGTAGATTTCATTCAACGTTAGCTGCCTGTCGGGGGTCTCCAGGATGGCCTGGGGAACCAGAGAGAAGGACGAGAGCATCACTCGCACAGCCCGAGCGCACCCGGTGGCGGGATTTAGGGTTTGGGGAGGGGTCCCTGGGGATTCCCCTTGGCCCCCACTGTACCAAGAAGGCAGGGAGAGGGCAGCTTGCCCACAGCAAGGTTTTGGGAGCAGGAGCTGAACCAGCACGGCGCAGGGGAGCACTCACCTGCCGGATGAGCGAGGCGTACGTGAAGGGCGGCCGGACGTCGGCGTTTTTGTAAAACTCGTGATTCTGTGCAAGTTCTGCCGGGGAGGGGGACAAAAAGGGGACAGGGGAAGGGTGAAGGGCCCCGATATCGGACCCGGGGAGGGTGCCGGTCCCCGGGGCCCCGTGGCGATGCCCACCTGAGGATATCGGGGTGCAGAACTTCTCCGAGTTCCTCCTGCGGATGGGCCCCACGTTGTGTAAAGTGGAAGAGCTGATGACGGAGGGGCCCTGCCGCAGCGGGGTGATGGGCGCCGTGGCGGAGGTGGGGGGATGAGGTAAACCGTCGGGGAACGTGTCCGAAGTGCTCTTGGAGAGGGTGGCACTCGAGACCAGGTTCAGCTGCGGGAAGGGAGAGGGGCTGGGCACCGGCACGGGGCGGGCGTGGGGCTGGGTGGGCTGTGGGAGCCCCCCCCGTGTGCCAGGAGGGGGTGCACAACGCAGGGCTCGCTGTGGGGGTGTGACACGGCTGAGGGATGGGGATGGAGCCATGGAATGGGGACACAGCCATGGAGTGGGGACACAGCTATGGGATGGGGACGCAGCTATGGGATGGGGCTGGAGCCGCAGGATGGGGATAAAATCATGGAATGGGGACACAGCCACGGGACAGGGACACGGCCATGGGATGGGGATGCAGCCCTGGGATGGGGATAAAACCATGGGATGGGGACAGAGCTGTGGGACAGGGACACAGCCACAGGATGGGAATAAAGCCATGGTTTGGGGACGCAACCATGGTTTGGGGACACAGCCATGGTTTGGGGACACAGCCATGGGATGGGGACGCAGCCACGGGACAGGGACGCAACTGCAGGACAGGGACACCAAGCAACCTCAGCCGAAGGGGCAGCCGTGGGGGAAAAATTTGGGGGGGGGACAGGGGCGCAGGGAGGGGAACGCAGGCTTACAGGTTGGCTGAAAGGCTTTGGCTCTGAAGGTCTCATGTGAAGGTGAGCCATCATTGCTTGGAGGCGCTCGCTCTCCTTCGCCAGCTGAGGGAGGCAAGCAGCAGAGGGACGGGGTTAGGCGGTGCTGGGGGGGGCCCTGGGGATGCCCCCCCGCCGCCTGCCCAAGCCCCCAAACCCTGTTTTGCGCAGGGAGCATCCTCCAGCGTCCCTGCACGTGGCTGTGAGCCACCAGAGCCCCCCCCCGCCACCTCCTGCCTGGTGCTGAGCCCCCCCCTCAGCCCCAGCGGGGAGCTCCTGCGCCGTGGGGGGGCCACTGCTGCTCCGGCTCCGCGTGTGCAGCCGGATGAAAAATCTCTTGTGAAATGGAGCCAGCACGGTGTGAGCCGTCAGCACATCCCCGTCCTGTCCGTCTGTCCCTCCCTGTCCTCCCCAGGTCCCTGCCGTCCCTCGTGCCAGCTGGGGGGGGCAGGACAGGCCCCCTCCCTGTCCCCTTGGGTCCCTCCAGCATCGTGCTCAGCCCCCTGCGTGCCCACCCATCCATCCGTCTGCCCACCCATCCATCCATCCACCTGTCCATCTGTCCATCCATCCACCCGGACGGACGACATCGCTTTAATTGTGTCCCCCCCCCACCGCCTGTTTACCCCCCCCGCAGCGTGGGGATGGGTGAAATATTCGCCGTGGCACCGGGAGGGATTTTGAGCTCGGCGGAGCCGATGGGACCTGACACCCGCTCCCTTCCCATCACCTCCCCTCCCCGCTGCGCCCCCTCAAACCCGCGCCCCCCCCCAGCGTTCCCAACCAAGGCATGGTGGCCGAGTGACGAAGGGGTTAAAGGCAGGAGCCGGAGCAGAGTTTGCAGCAAGTTTGGAGCAGCTCTGATGCCTTCGCGCTGTCGCAGCGCTCATTAGAGCTGACAGCTCGCCCCTCGTGATGCAGACGCCCTCCGCCGACACAGCGGGAGCTCCGCGCTGAAAACTTTATAATTGGTAGCTCTGGTGGCAGGTTCTCCTCTCTCTCCTCTCCGCAGCTTTCTGCGAGCCCTTCAGGTATTTTTTTTTTTTTTTTTTCTCCCTCCCCTCTTTAAGCCCCGGTAATTGCTTTCAACCTCGTGCTTCGGCGAGGGCTGGGGAAGAGGATGCGAGCGCACGGCACCGCGCAGGCGGCTCTGCAGCCCCCCTGGCAAGGGGAAAGGGGGGGTTGGGGGCTTTGCTGAGTGTTCCCCCTCCAGCTTCACAGCCCATTTTGTGCCCACCTTGATGGGCACAAACTGCTCCGAGCCCCTGGCAGCCCTCAAATCCAGGAGCCCAGACAGGGCTGGGGCTGCCAGGAGAGAAGTGAGAACACCGGTCCCTGTGTCCCCCCCTCTTTTTGCCCCCCCCCACGCCAGCAGGGACTTCATGAGCCACCCCAGGCAGGGACAACGTGCAGAGCCCTGTCCAGCCCTCCAGCATCCTTCACAGCTTCCAAGCCTCACGAGGAAAAACCTCCAAAACCTCTGTTTCCTCCCACTCCGTCTCCTCCCGTCCCTATTCAGTGAATTACGCGCGGCACTTTGGGGACCTGGAGGTGGTGGGGAAAGCACTATTTCAAGAACCGTTTTTTCCATAAATAGCACCCCAAAGCCAGGCTCCAGAGACCACGCTCGGGCACCTCAGCGAGCGGCCTGATTTCCAGCAGCCCCCTGGCACGGGCAGCGAGGCAAGCACAGGGCTGGGGGCACAGGCACTCAGCACCACCACCGAGGAGGACGTGGCTTATAGGACTTCGGCATCTCCTTGTACCCCCAGAAGGAATTTGGGGTGCTTTGGGCTGGCTCATCCCTTCCTCCAACACCAATATAACCATGTGGGGATGCTGGTATTGATCGGGGAGTGGTTTGAGGGTCTCCATGCCCTGATGCCCACCAAGAAGACCACTGTGGGATCAGCCAAGAGCATGGCACTGTTGGGGAAAGCTGCTTAAAAGGAACCCCGTGACACCAGGGCTGGCTGCTTGTCCTGCTGGAGGGCCCTGACCTGGCTGCTCCCCTCCTGCAGGGAGCATCCAAAACCCAGCACGTGGAGCTGGAGAGGAGATCGCCTCCAAACCACCCGGCCCTGGAGGCTCCCCGGCAGCACCCACCTGGATTTCCAGCTGCTGGACCACTTGCATCTGAACTCGACACTGGGCCGTGCTCCGGTCATCGAGCGCGTGTTCTGTGTTGAGGTGTCTGTGGAGAACAGGGAGGGCTAAAACTGGCGAGCAGGAGGGAAACTGAGGCACGGAGGCAGCCCAGCGCGCCTCCTCCTCCCCATCTCCTTATTTCGGGCTGCAGCTCGCCTTCGAGAGGAGGTTCGGAGGTGAGCCATGCCCACGGCAGCCCCAAGGACCTGGGGCCAGCACCCGAGGTCTTTTTGGGAGCTTGAAATTCCCGGAGAAGCCCCACTGCTGGCAGGAGGCAGCCAGCAGCACCCACGGGACCTGAGGAGCAGGTTTCCAGCACAAAGGCAGCATTATGGGGCCCTGTTTACGCCCTCGAAGGAAAGCCCTGAAGGCAGGAGGTGACATTTCCAGGTTGCTCCTCATCCTACCGCCTCGGTGCCTTGTGTTTACCGTGCAATTTGTGTTCATTAAACGCGGGGACTTTGGGTTTTTGCCTCCCTTTCCTTCCCCTGGTAGCAGCCGGGCCCCTCCTGACGCTCTCCGCTCCCAAGCAAGCCCAATCCCAAGACAATTTTTGCTCAGAACAAGGTGCCCAAAGAGCAGTGCCCCTCGTTTCGGATGTGGCAGGCGGCGGGGAGGCTCGGCGGGCTGTTTGCGAGAGGTTTCCAGCCCCAACTTGCAGAAAGGAGTTAGGTAACCAGGCCCGGCTGCCAAACCCGCCGGGCTCCTGCCTTCCTGCACTGCAGGCCCCAGGCACGGCCGCTTGTCCAAGCAGAAAACCACCCCCAGAGCCTCTGATTTTAATAAATCAGAGCCCCCCGGAGGTGCTCTTTTTCCCCGAGCTGCCTCTCCGCCGTGCCGTGGAGGCCCCCAAGCGCTGGGACCCCTGGCTCAAGGCGAGCTCCTCGCTGGGGCCGTGCTGAGCTTTTGGGGCTGGACGCTTTCTGTGTGTCCGTCCCACACCCAGACACACGCTCACATTCGCAGAGAGGGGGCAGAAACACCTCACGAGTGCTTCCAGGGCGCAGGATGAAGTCTCTCCTCCAGCCTCGGCCTGGCGCACAAGCACCGGGTGGGTTTCGGGGGGGCTTTGTAGGATGGGTGCAGGCCCCCTCAGGCCCCCGAGGGCACGGCAGGGCTCTGCTGGCACCGCCACCCAGCCCTTGGACACCCCCTGGCAGCCCCAGCGCCTGTTTCCGAATTTCCAAAGTGGAGTTTTACTCATCTGCCCCGCGCAAACATGCCCCGAGAGCCGCGGCGCTGCCTTATCGAGGCTCACCCGGTGAGGCAGGGGGAAGGAGCCCACCTCAGCCTGGCTCACGAGGTCCCTGCACAGCCCCCAGGCATTGCCCAGCCGCCCCCGGCCTCCTTCACGCCTCCTCGGGCCTCCCCCTGCTGCCTTCACACCTCCTCCTCCTCCTCCTCTTCCTCCCCAGAGGGCTCTGCCCCGCTTCCATCCCTGGGAGCGGGGAGGTTGCTGCGGTCCAAGCTGCCTCTGCCGTGCCCAAGACCCAAAAATCCAAAATGTTTTTCCTAAAAACCCAAAAACGTGGCCGAGGCAGAGCCCAGGCCCTGCCCCATGCCCCTCGCCTCGGCAGCACGCGGAGCAGACAGCGGGGAGGAGGAGGGGGGGGGACGGACAGCAGCGAGCCCGTCACTTCCTTCTGATGTCTTTGCTAAAAATCCCGGCTACAAAGAGATCTAATTGCAAATGAACTAATTAAGTAAACCTCTGACGAAGCGTGAAAACAATTTGTTTGACCCTGACGCTGGCAGAGGGCTCCTCGACAGCCGAGTTAATCAGTCAGCGGCGGGGCCCACGAGCGGTGTCAGCGGCTGCCGCGCTGCCATCTGCTTCCTCCCCTCCTCTTCCTCCCCCTGCTCTGCCCCCCAGGAGGGAGCCACCAGCCCCCCTCGCCTCCTGCCGGGGGCTTTTCTCCTCCAGCATCGAGGCCTGGCACGTTTTTCCCTTTTTCCCCAGGGTTTTCTCCCTTTTGGATAGCCTGGGGGTCCGCACCTAGTTTTAGGGTCCCCCCCCCAGTGCTGCAGTTGCTGGGGGTGACCCCGTGAGCTCGGCTGGCCCCTTCTCGCCCCAAAAAGCGGCAGCACTTACTTGACAAACTGTCCCAGGTCCTCACAGAGGGTTTCGCAGCCGGGCCACTTGCACTCTCCGTGGCCGTAGAGCGGGTGAGAGCCGGGGGTCTCTTCGTGGGAAGAGCTGCAAAAAACAAAAATAGAGGGAAGAGCCCCAAAAGAGGGAAAAACCCCGTCAGGAGAAGAAGCCGGGGGGGTTCAGGGATTTCCACACATGGGGCCAGCCCTCGAGACCTTCCCCAGGCACCAAGGGGGACCTGCAGCCTCCCCGGGGATGGCTCTGGGGGGGGGATAAAAGCCTGAGGGGCCGGAGCTCGGCTCTACCTGTCCCTTCTCGGCGTGTGCATGGTGCTCTGCCCATTGGGCAGAGGGTGGTGGGAAATGGGAGGCGAGACCTTGGCGGCCGAAAACGAGGTAGAGTTGGAGGTGTTGGTGGTGAGGTCGAGCCCCTCTTGTTTGATGCTGTCCTCGACGGGCTGGGCGGCCGTGACCTCCTTCCAGAGCTGCTGGAGGTCCGAGGGGCACACGGCTGAGGGTGGGAAAACAAGAAAAAACAGGGCTGTCAGCAGCAGGGGGGGCAGAGGACGGCAGCACCCACGTGCTGGGCTCACTCAGGACCCAATAGGGACCCCCCCAGCCCCGACTGAGGAGCCCTCACCACCCTCAACCCCCAAACTTTTGGGGTAGGGGAAGCACCAAAGCCCGCACCGCTCCTCGGCACCGCTCCCGGCCTTGCTGCTGCAGCCTCCCCTCACCGCTTTTTGGGGGAAAAGCCGCAGCCGTGGGGGCGTCCCCCGGTGCCCCCCAACCCCGTGCCTTACCTTGGGGAAGGGTCTGCAGGGGCACGGTGCCCTGGCCGGGCGGGAGGCTCACCAGCCCCTGGCGCTGCAGGTTTAACAGGTGCTGCTGCTGGAGCTGCTGCATCTGCAGGAGCTGCTGCTGGAACGCCAGCTGCTTATTCCCTAACGGCTGCTGGGAGACAAAAGGGAGGAAAAGAAAAACCCCGTTAGCGCCGGCATGGCAGGGGGGGGCTGCCGGGGAGCAGGGGGCACGGCTGCACGGCTTGCCGGTGCCGGCGGTGCGCGCCGCGGCCCCGCGTCTCCATCGTCCTGCCCGCGCTCAAGCTCGCGGCCGAGGCAGGCAGAGGCTTTGATCTATCGGAAGAGGAGGGGAAGAAAAGGAGAAAAGGGAAGAGAGAAAAAAAAAAAAAAAAAAAAGGCATTGAAAAGAAAGGGAGCGAGCGGGAGCCGGGGGGGTTTGCTCGGCGCGCCGAGAGCCGGCTCCGCTCGCCAAGCGCACGGTGCCCGCACGCCGGGGCTCGGCCACGGGGCACCGCCGAAGGAGAGGGGGGCTCCAGCTCCCAAAATGCATCCTAACGCTACCCGGATGTACAACGCCCTTCGTCAAGCACGGAAACAATCCCTCTTTACCCAAAATGATTCGCACGAGCCCCTCTTTGGGGGAGGAGGGGGGGGGGCACAAAACGGGTGCCGCGGGGGAGCAGGCGCCCAGTGCTCCTGGCCAGCGGGCGCCAGCCCCGATTTCCCCCCCGCGTGGGGGGCACGGCCCCGAGCATCCCGGGGGGGCTCTCCCACCCACTGGGGGGGGGTGAGCCGGCCGTGCTCTGCCCGGCATAAGCAGGCCCTAAACTTGTTAGGCAGGACGGGTCTCTGGGGAGGCCCCGAGAAATCCATGAGAATTAACTGAAGGGGAGAGAATTCAATTAGGGATGGGGAAAGGCAGCTGCTAATCCGAGCCGGCCACGAGAGGGGAGCTGCCCCGGGCTCGGCCGGCCTCATTAGCGGGGCAGGCGGCTCGGTAACCCCTTGAACCCCTCTGTTTGCTCAGACGTTGTTTGCAGGTTGCGAGGAGCCGGGCTGGCAGCAGCGCCCTGACCTCCCCCAGCTCCAGCCCTGCCCTGCAGCTCCGGAGAGGGGGGGTGGTGAGCAGGATGGGGCCCTGCTCGGAAATCCAAGCCCCCGTGCCAACGTGCTGCCCTTATCCCCCTTCCCACAGCTCTCCCCAGCCAGATGGCATTTTTTTCTGCTCCTAGCTGGGGCTGAGTGTTGTGGGATTCGGGCCCCGAGCCCCCTGCCCGGTGCTTGGGGATCCCGTGGCACCCCCCAGCCTGTTCCTGCTGGGTGCAATGATCCCCAAACCCGGCCACCAGGCACAGCCCCCATCCCCACACCCTACAGACGCTGCTGATGCTTGGCCTTGGCTCTGAAATGGAGCAAGGACAGGCTCCAGGCACTGCCCTGCAAATCCCTGTTGGGCCGTGATGTAAGGCACGACCGCGAGCCCTCAGCGGGGCACAGAGCATCAAAATCTGGTCTCTGAGCCCCCGAGGGATGCCCCAAGCCCTCCCTGCCCTGCAGCCCCCCCCAGGAGCCATTTCCAGGACCGACTCCTCTCCGGTCTCCCCCCAGCCGTGCACCTCTGGAGATGGAGGCGCACGAATCCGAGCCAGTTCTGCTTGGAAAAAAAAGAAAACCCTGCAAAAAAAATCACCGAGCGGTGAGGAGCCAGGAGGATACCTGGAGACCGTGACCCCGCAGGGCCATGAGTGATACGGGGAAGGAAATGGGGCCAGGGCTGCGTGACAGACACACACACACGTGTCCCCAAACCGGAGCGGGGCCGGGCTCTTCCTCCTCTTGCCCCGCTCTGCCACCGCCCTCTCCAGCGGCCCTGGAAAAACCCAGGCTCCCCAAACACTGCCTCATCCACAGCCCTTCCCGGTTGGAAGCTGGGGAAAATTGGGATGGGTGAAGCCAGTAGGGTCCCCGGCACGGTGTCCCCGAGCTGTGGCGGCTGCTGGTGGAGCCACAGCACCCCGGGGCCGTGGGGGACCCACGCGTGGTTCTGCGCCTTTGCATGGCTTTAACCCATGCGTGCGTCCTTCCAGCTCTGCCAGACCACGAGCACGGGGCCCAGAGGGGGAATACGAGCCCGGGAGCTCAGCACGGAGCTCTGGGGAGGGGGAAAATTGGGGTTCACCCACAGCACGGCACGCTGCTGTCTGCCAGGCACCAGGGAGGATCCAAATCCTGATGGGCTCAAACCTGCTGAGCACAGCGTAGGTGGAGGGGACCCGTCCAAGGCACCCAACGGCAAGGGGTCCCCAAGGATCAGCCACACAGGGGTGCAGGAGCAGACCCTATTCACCTGCCCTAAGGGCTATAGGGCAAGCCCTGGGGTCAAGGCTTGCAGTCTGACCACGAGCAAAGCCCTGAGCCCGGCTGCGTTAAACCAGCTCGAGCCTGAGGGCCAAATCCTGCCCGAACAGCCACCACCACGCATGGGAGCATCCTAGATCCTGGCTCAAAAACTGGAAAAAAAGCCAAGCAGCGAGGTCACTGGTTTGCTCTGGAGAAGGCAGAGCCTGAATTCCCCCCCAGCCTGGTCTCCTCTCCCCCAGCCCTCCTGGGGGGGCCCCCCTGGCTTCTGGGGGTCAGGGCGCAGCGCGGGGAGAAGCAGAGAAAAACCCCAAAACGCACAGAAAGCAGTTACCCATCCTCGTTAGGACGGCTCCTCGTTAGGACCTTCAGCCCCGAAGTGTCCCCCCTTGATGCCAGCGACCCCCCCGGCGTGGGGTAGGGGCTCCGAGCCCGTTTTTCCCCCCCCCTTGTGCTCCGTTTACATTAGACGCAGCTGAGTGGGTGCAGCTACCGGGGCAAGAGGCGCCGTCACTTTGATTTATGAGCACATCAAGAGGACTTTCGGCGTGACACTGGGGACTGACAGGAGCAGTTCATTAAGCTGACGCCGAGGTCAGGCAGCAGGCAGCCCCCCACCGCCCCCCCTCCCCGGCCCCACTGGACTCGGGGGGCGCTGCCGGAGCTGGGGGGACCCCACGGAGCTGGCAGCAGCGGGGAGAGCCGGGTGCCTGCACCCGGTTGTGCTGGAAGCAAGCTGGGTTTGGGGCGAAAAAAGGGCAAAAGAGGGAGGGCAGCTGCTCGGCAGCCCCCTGCAACCAGGTTAAGGGGCGGCACGGAGCCGTCCCGGTGCTGTGCTGCACCCAGGGTGCTGCTGGGGCTGTGCCTTCACCCTTACAAAGCGATGTGATAAAAGGCTATGGGGTGGCTGGGACGTGCCACAGCCATGTCCCCAATGTCCCAGCCTGCTGCCCAGATCACCCTGAGCCCCCCCTGGCGTGCCACAGCTCCCACCAGCCGCACACGCCAAGCACCCCAGCACCCCCCTGCATCCTCCCGGCCAGGATGCTGCCGACGGGCGCTTCCCGACACGCTTCCCCCCTTTGCTCTCCTGCTTTTCCTGCTCTCCCCCCTCCTCCCCACTTTCCCCGCGGGGGCTCCTGCCGGGGAGAGATCTGAGCTGCTGCTCCCCCGCAGCCTGCCAGCGGCTCCCGGCACGCCGCCGTGCCCACCTGCTGCTCCCCCCGCGGCGCTCTGAAGCCGAGCCGCCGGCATCCAGCCACGGCGAGGCGAGCCCTCGGAATCAGAAGAGGGAAAGCAGAGCGCGCCGGGTTTACAAACCTCGCGGCGGCCTGTAATTAAAGACCGCCGTGGATTTCCATGAAGGAGCCCAAGGCCGGCCAAGAGCGGCTCTGCGGCGGCATCCCAGACACGCCAGCGATCCCCTGCGCCGTCGGGGGGGAAGCGACGGCACTGCCGCTCCCAGCAGGCGCGCGCGGCTGCCAGATGCAGGCTTTATTAATAGCAGCCGGGTGAACCCGCAGGGGGGGGAGCTGACCCCGCTTTACGGGGCTCGCCGCAGCCCCCCCGGGGCCGATCCGCCTGCCCAGAGCCAAGGAGAGCTCCCTGAATGGGGCCAGGGCCGCTTTTCACGCGATGCTCTCCTCCCGCGAGCAGCTCGGAGCTGTCTGGGGGATGCTTTGCCTCTTTGCCCTGGTTTTTGGGGAGGGGGGATGCCGTGGCAGGCACCCCGGGGACCCCTCGCTCTTTGTTCAGGGTGCGGGGAGCCGGGCACGCAGCACCCCTGCGCGCCCCTTCTGCCCTCCAGCCTGCTCCGACACTCTCAGCAGATAAATTTCTTGCTTCCCCTGTACTGTTTCATCCAAACACGAGCTTTTCAGACCGGGAGCCCGCTCCGCGAGCCCTTTGGAGGAGCTTAATTACCTCCTAGCCAGTTGCTGCAATCTAACATCGCCCCGGCCAAGAGGGAAGTCCTTGAGGAAGCCCAGATTTATGCCTCCCCCGTTCCTGGAGCGCAAGCAGCTCCTCCAGCTCCTGGAGATGGCTCCGATAAAGCCTGACCCCGCACACACTGCGTAAATACGGTAACAGCCCGCAATGAAAGCCCGGGTCAAAGCCTATTGAAGGCTCGAGTGGGCTCCAGCACGACCCCGAGGCGCTCGAGGCTCCCCGCTCGCCCCGCGCCGACGCGCGCGCTCGCAAGCTGCAGCCTGAAGTCGTGCACGGGCTTCAGCGCTTTCTTCCTCAAAGATTTATTTATGGGATTTATTTTTTTTTTAATGCAATTTGCTTAAATCGGGGAGGTTTTCCAGGAGTTGAGGTTGCAACACATGGCCCCAGTACCATCACGTGCTGATGCTGAGCTAGGGACAGGGGTTGAGCAGCTCGGGTCCACGTCCCCCTGCACCATGGGGCAAGGAAGGAGCTGAGGGATGGCCCCACGGCGATGCTGCAGGCACAGCACCACGCAAAACCCCCCCTTACAGCACCAGGTGCACTGATCAGGGAGGAGAGGGGTGAAAATATCTGGGGTTTGGGAAGAAAACAAAGGGAGAGGCGATGTCTGACTGCTGGAGGTCAGGGCTGACCCCACAACGCCATGCCAGCGCATCCCCAAAAGTGGGCCCAGGGGAAGAGCTCTGAGTGTGTTCCTACGGTCAGGGACAGGAAAACCTATTGTGGGAATGGAGTTATTATACAAGATCGATGCGATCCTGCTAGCATAAACGCTCCCATATCCCCAAATTCCCTCCCCAGCCAAGGGCCCAGCACGGCACAGCGCCACCGACCGCTCGCTGCGCGCTGCCGCCAGCTCCTGCCCGAGCCTCTCCCTCCAGAAAACCTCCTTGCTGGAAACGCTGCGATTTCACACAGTGCCTTGGCTTCTTCAGAACCGCCTTTCCTGGCACGAAAAGCCTTGTTTTGGGTTCCTTACCTGACCAGCCCTGCCTGCCTACCTGCCAGGCTGCTGCCGCGCTGGTTAGATCAGGACTGCGCCGCCCGACCCAAGCCGTGCCGAGATCCCGCTCTGCCCTCACCCCTACAAGGAGCATTTGGGGGGCCCCCCTGTGTCCCGGGGGGGCCGATACCGTGCCCCACGTCCCCTTGGACATCCCCTGTCGGCTCCCAGCCGGCTGCCAGGATCCGCACACGCCTTGTTGTTTTGCTGCTGGTCCCCCTTTCATTCGCAGCCAGATCTGATGGCAGCCGGAGGCTGGGCCCAGCACCCATCTGCGTGAGCTCACCTCTTTGGGCTGCTGCTTTCCAGCTTGCTGTTGTGTCAATAGCTGCAGGTGAAGCTGCTCCTGTTGCTTCTTGTAGTATTCCTGCAACTGGGAGGGAGAGGGGGAGGAGAGAGAGAGAGCGGGACGGATCAGCAGCAGGAACACCCGCTTGGCTTCCCGTGTCTGGTGCCACCCCGTGCCCGGTGCCGCCCCATTCCCGGTGCCACCCCATGCCCACCAGCTCCCGGGGCTTTGCTTCAAGCCCTCTGTGAGGAGCTCCACCACCTCCCATCAGCTCCTGGCTTCGAGTTCAGAGGAAAAGCCCCTCTCCGAGGCCATCCCAAAACCTGGGAGCCCACTCCAAGAACCTCCCGAGCGCTCCGGATCCCCACAGCAAATAAAATCCCCCAAAGCGCAGCAAATCCCCAACCTGCTGTGGCTTTACCCTGCCTGGTGCCACCGGTTTGGGATCCTCCACTTGTCTATCACCCACTGAGGGGGTCCCAAGCCCCAGCTGAAGGAAGGAACGTGCACCCTGGGGATTTTCCAGCTGTTTTGGGGGGGTTTGTCTGATGGGGCAGAGACGAGGAGGCGAGCAGCTCCTTTGCAGCAGGATTTTTTAGGGAGAGATGCCCCAAACACCTCATAAAAAGTGCTGCTGAACTGGGGGGGCTCCCGGTGGGCACAGCTTTGCCTGGTGCAACCCCACAAGCAGCACCACAGACGTTGCCCCATCCCCTCTGCGGGCACGGGGGGGACCTTGGGGCACCCGGCCGCGGCTCTCACAGCGCGGACACCCCACGTCCTCGCAGCACCCCATCTTCCGAGCTGGGAAAACGGCCCGAAACAAACCACCAGGGAGGGCTCCCAGCCCCCATCACCACGGGGGGATGCTCTCACCCCGGCCCCAAAATAAACTCCTGCGGCTGGATTTGCTGCGCGCAGGAGGGGCCGGAGGCACGGGGAGGTCAGCGCAGGCAGGCAGCCCTCGCCCCGCACAGGGGCGACGGCGGCGGCTCAGGAATGCCCCTTTGGATGCCGGGAAGCCTTTATCAGCTCGGGGCTGACAGCGCTGACAGCAGCAACTTTGCTTTTTCTGTCGGCGAACAGGTTTGGAAAGGCTCGGTGTTTACCCGAAAGCCAATCAAAGCCGGGGCTCTGCAACATGGTCGAGCGAGGCTGCGGGAACATTGGGTCAGGGGTGAGAGGTGTGATGTTTGGTTTTCTGCTGGTGGAGAATGCGAGCTATTCCGGCCTGGGTTGTTTAATTTGCAGTCAAACGTGTTTCTTTATCCGGCTCCAAAGAGGCTCGGAGAAGGACCCACCCAGGGTAGTGTTTACCCTTTGTTCTTTCCCTGGGGCCAACCTTGAGTCCTTATCAGCCTGTTTGGAGTAAACAGGTACTGGAGGCAGGAGGAAGGGTGTGGAGGATGCTTGTGGGATTTCTCCTTCCCTCTCTCCCGCCAGCGGGAGGTGTTTACCCAAGCAGCCCTGCTTTGTTTCGGAGGTTGGGGTTGTTTTTTGTGTTTTTGTTTTTTTTTTTTTTTTTTTTCCTAGCCTCCCTTTGCTTCCCTCCCCAGCTCCTTTGACGCTGGGGAACGCCGTGAGAGGCAAACCCAGGTCTGGATCCTGACCCATGGGGAGGTCTCCAGCAGCCACCCCAACTCCCAGCCCTCCCCAGGAACCGGCCAGCCCCAAACTGGCCCCTTGGTGTGCTCTGAAATCCCTGAAATCACAGCCGGCTGTGCACCATCACAGCTCCCTTCACCCCTTGGTGCTGGACACTCTGGGGATCCCCAGGGAAACACAGGGGGAACAGAAGCCCCAGGGGACGGGTTCCAGACCCTCTGCCTGTGCCAACTGAGCTCCAGCACTCAAGGGGAAGAGAAATGGTGTGGCAGGACCCAGGCAATGCCCAGCCGGGGTGGGAGCAGCCTTACCTGCTGCAGCATTATCGCCTGCTGCTGCTGCAGGAGGGCCTGGAGCTGGGGGGGGGAGAGGATCTGCTGCATCTGCTGCGGGGTGATCATCTGCGGGGACATCATGGCCACGGACACGGGGACCTGCGGAGAGGAGAGACAGACACGTCACGCCAGGCCTGGGGAGCTCAGGGTGGCATCACCCTGCCAGGCTCCCCGTTCCAGCCTCAAAAGCCTTCCCCAAATGCCTCCCGTCCCTAAATCCTCTGCCACCTGCTTGATGCCGCTCCCACCACGCCTCCCCCATCTGGGCACGCCGAGGCCACCGCAGGGGATGTGGGGGGGAGGTGGCGATGGCACGGAGACGCTTCCTTCACCACTGCAGGAATTGGGCATCGAGAGCACCCAGCGGCACCTGGCTTCCCAACCCCAACCCCAGCTCCTTCCTCTCCTGCAAGGGCACAAAAAGCCCCCGAGAGCTGGGATTGGGCTCCTTCCCTTAGGGTTTGGGGAGGAGAAGCGCTGCGGGAAGCAGGGCAGGTCACCGCTCACCCAAATAACTTTGCGCAGCAGAGGAAGAGGTGACCAAGGTTCTCCGCAGGCACATCAAAGCTTCACCTCCAGCTGACACCAGTAACTCACCTCGTTACCGTGCCAAGCGTAGAGAGGGCTCAGAAAACCTGCCAGCCCCTGCCTTTTGGTCAGCCTAACGCGGGCGCACGCCCCCGCGACGACGCGGGGAAGGTGTCGGTGACGGATCCCAGGCTGGCCGCGAGCAGGTCCTGCCCAGGTGGGGCAACGCCGCCTTCCTCGGCGCAGGCACACGGCCCCCCTTACGCAGCCCCCGTGACCCTGAAACCAGCCCCAGTCCCTTTTTCCAGCCCGTAGGAAGGGTTACGGCCCTGCTGTCAGTGCGTAATGCAGCCTGGCTCCCCCGTGCAAGCCAAGCGCCAGGCGCCTCGTCCCTCCGCTTGAGGATCCCAACACATCAAGCACCAAGAGACAGAGAAATAAAGCCACCGGCCCCAGCTCACCCAGCAAATCCCAAAGCAGAACCTTGGATCCTACAGCCCCAGGGCTCCCGAGCGATGCCCAAAGCCCCCTGGCTCCTGACCCGCCTCCCCCCTGCGGCACCCCGTGGCAGGCGTTGGGCCGCGCCGCAGCGCGCTGACCTTCAAGGGAGATTGCAGCGGCTTATCTGTTTACTCAGGCATTTTGCTGGAGGGAGGCGAGCGGGCCGAGGCCCATTTGTCACCGGCGAGCCCCCCCAGCTGCCGCCGGGTCCGAGTTATTTATTAATTGCTGCCTGTTCACACCCAGGGCTGCTGCTGGGGCGCCCTCGGTGAAACCAGCCTGGGTGGCAGCGATGGGGATGCCTGCAGGGCACGAAGCTCACCGCTGCCCTGGTGTCCCTGCAGGGACACTGGCCACCCTAAATCAGACTCCCCCTTCCACGCAGAAAAGGGACCGACCAAACTATCCCATCCCAAGAATTATAAAACCAGGAGCATCCCCAGCACAGAGCTGCAAAACCCAGCGCCTGCAGCAAAACCGTCGACGCCGGCTGCAGCAGCACCGATTCCGGCCAGAGAAGCCCAAACCACGGCAAATCCCCCTTGCAAAACAGACAAGGAGCTGCTGTTCGGGTGCTCCATCTCCGTGCACGAGTGCTGAGGGCGGCCAGGTGCCGGCAGACAGCTGTGCACAGCACTCGGTGAACATCTGGCCAGGAGGGATGCCGGCGGGGACGGCAGCCCACGCGGCGGCACCGGCACGGTGAGCGTGCTCGAGGTCCGCGCCCGCTCGCCGGGAGCTAAGCATCCTGCTAATTTCCCTTTGCCAATTCATCAGCTGGCAACGTGCTCGGAATGAGAGCCCCTAATTAATTGCTCATCCGCATCCCCCCCCATCTGGGCTGCCTCCCCGCCCCCCGGCGCCGCGCGGCCTCTCGTACACGTTTGCTGGCATTTTCAAATCGGAGGCATCCTAATTACCGGAGAGTTATAACACCTTCCATTTCTCGCCCAACGGACTGACACCCTGTCAAGAGCAAAGAGAATTGCCAGAGGTTTTGACAACACTAATTGCCCCTATAATCTAAAAACACAAAGGAGAGGCGATTAGTCGAGAGGGCCCCAGCTCTCGATCCGACACGAGGTTTTCACAATGTTACAAGAAAACAAAAGCGACGCTTTTTAGAGTTTGATGGCTGCTAACAAAAGCAGAATTATATTTTCATACAACCTTTGTCTGCATTAAATGGCTTTTTCTTTCCAGCGCTCAGATGCGGGGCTGACACGGGGAAATGGCGGCGGTGCCGAGGTGTGAACGGGGCGCGCGCACGCGGGTGCCAGGGAGCAGCAGCACGCGGCACCTTCGTCGGCTCCCCGAGTCCTGCTGGCCAAGGACAAATTTCCCCCCACCCGCTGCCAACGCCCCCCTCCTCGCCGAGGTTTCCAGGGAGGGCAGGAACTCGAAGCAAAACGGGAAATTCCCGCATGCAGCAAGTTTTCGCTCCTGCTGCGGTCGCTCATCCGGTTACAGCCCCAGCTGCCTCCAGCGCCTCGTGGGGACGGTGACAGCTGCTGCCTGGCACGGAGACCCCGAGGAAACGGCTCCCCCCAGCCTGGCCATAAGCCCCCTGGGGGCACCCGCTGGCTGCTGACCCTCCGGAGGGGGGGGGGGACAGCATGTGGCAGCCCCCGGTGCGCCGAGGAGTGCACCCCGGTGCTTGGGGTGCTTGCGGGAGGCGCACGGTGAGCGAGCTCCACTGCAAGCTGGGGACGGGCAGCCCAGGTGTAGGGGGGATTTTGGGGTCCAACACCCCCAGGAGGGCCAAAGGGAAGGTGCTGAGGAGCTCAGCACACCGTAGGGACAGTGTGTGAGCATTCACCAAGCTGGCTTTTCATCTCCCACGCACCCAGCAGCGAAGCCTCCTCCACGCAGCAAAGCCCAACCTTGCACGCGGGACGAGCCGCGGCACCCACACCGCTCTGCGCAGCCCCAAACCCACACTAAGGCAACACCAGCAGCAGAATTTGGGGCTTTTCCCTTCTTTTGCATCCCCCACTTTGGGAACCGACCCCACAGCACCCAGTGGAGCAGCACCGGGGCTCGTCCCCGGCTGCATCTCTCCGTGAGCGGCGCGGGCGGCGTGCGACGAGCGGGCATCTGCCAGACACGGCGCTGGAGAAGGGCTTGACTCACTCCTTGGCCTCCTGCCACCCCACAAAACTGCTTACTAACAGCTTTGGCTGCCTCACAAAAAAGCCCCGACGCTGTATCTCTGATTCGCGAACACAATCTCGAGGGGGTGATTTTCCAGGCGGTCGGGGTTGTAATCCCGCCGTGCCAGAGGACAGGGGCGGCCGGCGAGGGGGCGGATAAAGCAGGCGGCGGGTGGAAAACAAGACGGGTATTAAAGGGGGAGCTCGGCGCTCGCTGGAAGCCCGGAGCAGCCCTGCCAAAGCCGGCTGCGCGAAACGGGATTTGGCCGGGCGTAAAATGCAGCGGGATTGGGGAGCGATGCCTTTTTTTTATTATTATTATTAATTTTTTTTTTTTACAGGAAGCGGATCGCAGGGAACGCGCCGTCCTCTGTACCAGGGGAACGCCGCTGCCGGCTCGGGGGATGAGGCAGAGCGAGGGATGCCGCAGACCAAAGGCAGGGCTGGGCTTGGCCGCCTGCTCGTAGCACCTCCCAATGGGGCCAGGGGAGCCCCCGGCAGCCCCAGAGTGCCAGAAACCCCACAGCCTGCCAGAAACCCCCCCGGAGTGCCAAAATCCCCCCAGCGGCTCAGCCTCGAAGCATCCCTGCACCCTCCGGCACCGTCACGCCGAGCCATCGCTCCCACCAGGAGCCACCTTGGCCACCTGGGAGGTAGAGTCTGGGTTTCCACACCTATAGCCCCATTTCCAAGCACGTCCCAAACCCTGCCACCTTCTTGACCTGGGGGGTTGTGGGGACAGAGCAAAGCTCTCGTCCCGCTGTGGCACGGCGCACGCCAGCTCCCCGCTGCCCGCAGAGCCCAAGGCGCTGCGCATCCTTGTCTCTGATCTAATCTCGGGTTTTAACTCCCAATTAGAAACAACAGCAAACACGCTGGCGCTGTTTGTCTTTTTTTTTTAAGCACCCATTTCAAATCCAAAACCAACAGAAACAAGCCCGGGATGTCTGCTCAGGAGGCAGGGAGCTGGGAATGGCAGGAGGAGCGAGGGAAGGAGCCACAACCAAGAGCAGCCTCGCATCTGCTGCTGTCGGGGGCCAGGGATGAGAGCGAACACCCGGGTGGACCCCCCAGCACCCACTTCCCATGGGTGGGGCGAGCAGGTGCTTGCACCCATCCCCTCCAGCCCCCAGCCCTGATCCTGCACCACAAACCCCGAGGCCGAGAGGGCTCCAACCATCTGCAAGAGCTTCGGGTGCCCGTGGCCAGGCAGCCAGATTTACACCAGGCTGGGGAGAGAGGAATCGGACACGCGCAGTCCTGCGAGGGAACCCCCAGCTCCACGCTCAGGCTGGATTTGGGGGCTGTGGGGTTATTTTGTGCCCACCCGGGAGGTGCAATGCCCCCGGGGAGGACAGGGTGCTGCGCCCTCCGGGTCAGAGCACGGCATTAGGGCCTTGCCCCCGCTGTCCAGCTGCACGGGAAGAAAAGGAGGAATCAATCCCCTGCGTGCGCAACCCGACGCGCATCCTCATTAGCGCCGCGCCCCGCCGGGGAGCACTAATCGCGCATAATTGGGCTGCGAGTTGCTGGAAGTTGAAAGGAGCTGGCTGGGGGATGCGGCGGTGGTGGAAAGGGGGCTCCCGGGCAGGGAGAGCCGGGGTTTGGGAAGGAAAAGGGGCAGAAGTGGGGGTGAGGAGGGGACGGACCCCAGGGCCGCAAGTTCGAATGGAAAACCCAGCGCGGCGCGAGCCCAGCCGGCCGGGCTGCCGTGTTTTTTTCCTGGATGGGAACGCAGAAGGGCTGGTATTGATCTGTCTTCATTACCCATTTCACTCAAGTTTCAAATCAACAAAATACACTTTTCCGCTCCGCTGCCCTCCCCGCCACAGCAGACAAAAGAAAAGCAATTTCCCGCAGTTTGCTCCAAACTCCTCGCCCCTTCCCTCGGCGCCCTTCGTCCCTTCTCCCCTTTCAGAGGCTCTGTCACCGCAGCGAGTCGCTCGCCGGTGGCTTGGAGACCCCAGATCCGTGCGCAAGGGACCCCAGAAAGCCAACTTCCACGGACACCCTGTGATTCAGCAGCGTCTCAGAGCCAGAAAGTGGCCCAGCACCAAAACCCCACAGCATCCTCCGGGCACGTGCAGCCTCCCTGCTCCCGAACACCCCAGGTTCATGCAGGAGGAGCACCGCGCCAACCACCCCGGCAAAGCCCTCAGCCACGGGGCTCCGGCAGCCTCCGCCGACAAGCCGAATGGTTTTGAAGTTGCAAGGAAACCGAATCATTTAAAAAAACGTTTCAGGGTGTTGTTTTTTTGTTTTTTTTTTTTCAGGCGCAGCTGCAGTCCCAGCGTCAGCTGCGGGGCTCGGCGCACAGCTACACCTCCAGGCATCTGGGGGCAGAGAGTGTTCACATTAAAAAAAAAAAAAAAAAAGGAAAAAAAAAAAACCCTACCATAACCCAAGATCCCTATCGAGCCCAGCAGCTCCTTGTTTGTTTTTAGGAGCGTGCCGTTGCCGACTGTCATTAATATTCCTGCTGGCGTGGTGCCCCACAAACGTCCCGTCCCCTCGGCACGGTGGCAGCGAGGGCACGGTGAGAGCGGGGACCCCGCAGGGCTCCTGGGGTCTGAGTGCTCGGCACGGGGCCGCTGCGGGGATGCTCCACCGGGGAGCTGGGGGGGCTACGAGCCAGCTTCACCCCCCCAAAAAAAAATCCCTGGTGGTGTGGAAGTCGAGCACTTGGTCCTTTTGCAGGCTCAGCCACCGGCTCGCGCGGTTATCAGGGATCCTGGGCGCTCTCCTCCCAGCCAGCCTTCCTCCTCCTCCTCCTCCTCCTCCTCCCCGAGCGGCCGTCCTGGCCAGTCTCATCCACACCACGGCCGTCAGATAAACTTCCTTTCAAAGGAGCCTGCTTAATCCTCTATCTCCCCTCGTTCAGATCCCGCTCCAGCTGCCGGGCAGGGGGAGGAAGAGGCCGGCGGCTGAGTTATGAGCTATTTCTGACTCACGTCTACAACTTTCACAAGTTCTTTTGCAACACAAAAAAAGGGAGGAGGGGGGGGTGGGGGGGGTGAAAGAGGGCGGCAGATCCAGTTAACTCTGGCAAAGCCGGGCCAGATGGACGGCAGGACGGCCAGGACGGACGGACGGAGGTGGGAGAAGGGAGGCGAGGGCACGGGGAGGCGCCGGGGGGCCGGGGAGGCTGCGGGCGCAGCGCGGCCGGGGAGCGGGGCGCCGGTTCCCGGAATCTGACTTCACTCTTACTGCCTTTGTCCTTCGCAGATATTTTCCATGCAGTGACTGCATTTCCTTCCTGAAAACGCTGCTGGAAAAAAGCCGCCTGGTTTGTGTGCCGCAGAAGCCCTGAGTAATTAGCGCTGCTCAGACCCAGCTGCGGCTTTCCCTGGTGCTTCCCAACCCTGCGGGTCCCCCCATTCAGGGCAGGTTGGGGGCACAGGGGGCTCCCCCGGTCCCAGCGAGGACAGGGTGGCATCCACACAGCTCCACCAGCACCTCACACACGCCGGAATCGAGCCGCTTCATGAATTTTTGGGGGAAATTCATATTTCCCCCAAACGGAGCTTGGCAAGGCCACGCGTCTCGGCTGCCGGCCAGGAGCACAGGGGCGCACGGGGGCAGCCCCTAACCCCCCCAAAAAAGCCAATCCGGTGATATTGGGGGGGGGAAAGCAACTTCAGACTTGCATCCGAGATGCAATTCTGCAGCTCGGAGAGAAATAAATGGGAAGCGTGCCGGGGGGAGCTTTAATCCCCCAGGTTTGGGGAGGAGAGGAGCCCGGCCCCAGCCCCGCTCGCCTCCTCCCCGCTGCCTGCGCCTGGCATGGGCAGGACCTCCAGCTCTGAGAGCGCGCGTGCTAATTACTTTCCTTTGTTAATTAAGCCCACGTGGCTCTAATAAGGTAACCTGCTGTTCTCCGATAAATTTAATTAGCCTGAAGGGAGAGCCCCTCCGCACAGCTATTTAAATTGTCACTTCCCATTCGCTCGGGCTTTGCTTCTTTCCGCCTGGCCCCCTCTCCGGGTTCATACCCCTTCGCTGCCCCTTTTCTCGCTGTTTTCTGCCCCGTTTGGCTGGCCGAGGGAGGGAGCAGCAGGACGGTTCCCCTTCCACCAAGGGTGCAGGGTGCAGCCTGTGGGTGCTGTGCCCACCCAAAGTGGGTTTTCCTCTCCGTATCCCCTAAAACCCACCCCAGATGGGTCCTCGCCCCGTCCCAGTGGCCATCCCCTGCACGAGGACGACGTCCTCTCCCGTGGCCCCCCCTGCTCTTACCCCCAGGAGCCAGCCCTTCCCTCCATCACCCTTTCCCTGCACCATTTCCCACCACAGCAGCACGCGGTGGGGACCCCAATGGTCCCTCCAGCCCCACACAACGCTGGACCCCGTGCTGAGGCCAAGGGGGCCACCAAATGGGCCACCAAGTGGGCCACCAAGTGGGCTACCAAGGGTCCCCGTCTCCCCAAAAAAACACACAACCTTGGTCCCCAACAGCATTTCCCTCCTGAGCTGCTCTTACAGAGGAAACCTAAAGGAAAGGGATGTGCATGCAGCCTGGGGCCGACACTAAAAAAAAACAAAAAACAAAAAACAAAAACCACAACAAATTTCTGGAGGTTTACAGGGGATTTAACTCTTTGTGGGCGCGCTGCGGCCATCCCGAAGGGGGAGGCGATGCGTGCTGGTGCCTGCGCTGCCCCCCCCCAGCATCAGCACCAGTTTGCAGCCGAGCCCTTCCCGAAAAAAGCAGGGGGAGGTCCCTGGGGCTCACCTGCACCGCCGGCTGCTTGCCCTCATTGCTGCTGGGGGAGCTCAGCCCCGTGGCCTGCTGCAGCAGGAACTGGCGTGCCACCTGGAGAGCCTGCAAAAGAGACACACTGGGGTGGGCAGGAGGAAGAGGCCCCCCTTTCCCCATGCCTTCATCCCTCTTCCTCCTCCTCCTCCTCCTCCCTCTGGGCACGCTCGCCCTCCAGCTCCGGGGGCAGCCGCACGGGGTCTCCGCGGGTTTTTGTTCCTGGGGTGTGAGCAAGAGGCTGGAAAGGAGGCAGAACCCCTGGCATGCTCTCCTGCAACACCAGTACGACCAGTACATCCCATTGCAAACCCCGCTGTGCCCCCGGGCGTTCAGGGCATCGCTTGGGGCCAGCCTCAGCCCCGTTCCCATTCCCTCCTCCGGCCACGCGCACCCTGCCCCAAGCAAAGGGTGCCCAAACTGCACAACGGAGAGCTGCAGGAAGGGTCTGGGTTATTCCACGGGGCCACCACCACGATTTTTTGCTGAAGCTGACGGCCCACATGTCTAAAGACAGAGCGTGTGTTTAATGACACCGCTGGTCATCACCCTGCAGCACCAAAATGTCCCAGGCACCACCCAAATTCGGGTCATGGCCAGCGCAGGATTACACCCCGAATTAATAACCTGTGAGCACGTCTGCATGGAGTTCACGAAGATACCAAAGGAGTTTAGCAAGCGGCACAAGTGACCGAGATAAAACCCGCTCCTTTTTATGGCTGTTTGCCTTCGAGTTGTTAATTTCCTTAACACGCACTTGTTCGCAGGGATAAGGGTGTCTCGCTGCGAAGTCATGCAACAGGCAAAAGAGGTAGAAACCCAAGGAAATCAATAAAAAAAACACTGGTGGAAACACACGGAGGCACCAGCACTGAGCAAGCATAAGGAAAATCCCTTTCCCATAAGGTAAATCCCACAAAGAGACTCGGAGCAGAGAGGAGTCCGGGTGAACACATGAATGGGCCGGCACCGTGCAAAAAGGGCTTCGTTGGGAAGGGGGAACAAAGCTCCAACAAACCCAACCCCGTAGCATTCTAAAAAGTTGCTTCTAAAGCAACTTTTTTTTTTTTTGGAGGGAGCACATTTCCCAACAACCAAGCCCTCGTGGTCCTGCCTGCCCGCCACGGTTTTATTACGGCAGGGGGTGGCACAGTGCGGGGGTTCCCCGGCTGTCAGCGCCCCCCCGGCCGTAAATCACTGCGTGTGCCCCGAGGAAGGGCTGCTGGATAATTCAGAGGAAGGGCCGCTGGTTAATTTGTCACATTTCCAGCTCTAAAGAACAAAGTCGTGCCCTGGCCGGTGGCCTCGTGCTGCCTCCATGAATCCGAATGCAAACCGGAGCAGCGCACGCAGTGTGAACGCGCCCCAGCGCACAGCCCCGCTCCACTTCCCCATTTATTTCCCCCCTGCTCACCCCGTGCCCCTCTTACACTGCTGCTCAGTGCAGCACCCACCAGGACTCGTTACCCACTTTTCCACCCAAAGCTCCCCTTTAGCACTTCTCCCCGTGGCGGGGTCGCTCGGGAACGGCACACGCGATGGATTTAGCACCAAGATGTCTGGGTTGTGCCACAACTTTTTTGTTTGGTGGATAAAAGCCCCCTGCACAGGGACAGCGCGCTCGAGGAACGAGGTAAATTTTAGAAGCAAGCAGAGATTTTGGCTGCAGAGGGATTGGCTGTGGTCTGGAAATCTCAAAACCGGAGGGAGCCCTAACGGAAAGCCCGCGATGGGGGCTGCTGGATTTGAAGGAAAACAAATGAAAAAGCAATTTCCCTGCCTTGGACCTCGCTGCTGAGGCCAGGGTCCTGGCCAGCATCTTGTTTAGCAGCTCCCCGAGGGCTTTGCCACTCCCAGCTTGCAAAGCCCCAAATTTTAATGCCACCCCCTGAAGTTTGCCAAGCCCCCACGCTCGGCGTGGGCACCCCTGGCACCTGCACCGAAGCTCTCCCATTGCCACCACTTCTTCCCCAGCATCCCACGAGGGCTGCTGGGGATGCTCGGGAACTTCATGACCAATAACTCACCAACTCCTCACTTTACCCAAATGATGAAATCAATAAAATAAAACCCCCTCAGCTCCCACTGCTGGCGGAGCCGGCGCAGCCCCAGCGCAGGGCGCGCTTCTCCACGGGCACGTTATTTCCCTGTTATTACCCGTAATAGATGTGCATCGGTAATAGGAACACAAAGCCGTGTGACAGTTATGACAGCTCAAGGTCTGATATTTTAATTACTTTTTGAAATGAAAACAGTAATTCCAGTTAAAAGCCAAGGGTGGAGGAAGTCAATCTAAGGCTGCTCAGCACCCGCGCGGCTTCTCCTGGCAGGGAAGAGCCGGGCACCCACCCGGGATGGGTGCTGGATCACCCACTGACCCCAGCCACGTGTGCACACCGGCTGCCCGAGCTCTGAGGATCTCTCCACGTGTCCGTTTGACGGCGCTTTGCAGGGATTTGCTTTCTCCAAAGTTCCTCTGCAGCTTGCAAGGGCTGCGCAGAGCTGCTGGAAGCGGCTTGTGCGCAACGAAGGGGTGAAGGAAGGCAAGCCCCGGGTGTTGTGGCGAGCCCTGCGCGCTGCTGGGGATGGGGACACCGGTGCCACGGTGCCACTGCTTTGCAAACGAGCTGCCTGCTGCTTGTCACCCAGCCAGAGAGCTTTCCTGCTTGCCCTGGGGCACAGCATCACTGCTTTCCTCCAGGGAAAGGCAACTTTGGTTCTGGAGCACGGAGATGTCACCTCTGCTCAGGGACAGCCACGTGCCGAGGGCTGCCACCGTGCTAAAGGCAGCGGGATGGGGTGAGGTGGTGAGGCAGGTCCCCCAAAACCCGGGCAAAAATCAGCACGGAGGTGGAGAAAACACAGCCAAGGCCGAGCAGAGACTCACTATAGTGCAAGCGAAGCACGAGACAGAGCTGCTCCTAGAATCTCTCTTTCTAAACCCAAATAATCCCTGGGACGTAAGAGGGGACAGAAACCCTCCGAGAGCTGATACCGGCAATGCCACCCCCAAGCCCTGTTTGCTGGGGGTTTATTAATTATTTTTTTTTGCATAGGCAGCAAGCAGCAGCGCTGCTGGTGGGGAGCTGTGGGGCAGCCCCCAGTTTTTAGGAGTCTCCATGGTCCCTGCAAACTCCACGCTGAGTTTTATTCGAGCTGGCAAATGACTGGTGGCAGAAGGTGGCTCGTGCCAGCGCCGGGGAGGGGACAGGAGCCCGGCTGGCACGGGTGCCACCGAGCCCCCAGCAACCAGGGCCACGGGGGGCCCGGCCGCCCGCCCTGCTCCGCATCTCAGGGGGGAATTTAATTCACTCCCCGCTGGCTCCCTCACTTTGTTGTGCTCTGAAGCACGAAATTACAAGATTTACAGGAAAAAATGACATGGCCTTACAATCGCACACGGGGGCCTCCCCGGCTGCCCCCCTTCCCTCCCTCCCTGCCGCCTGGCAGCGATCCCAAGCAAAGCCCAAATCGGGCTCGGCCGTGGACCAAAGGATGCTGCAGACATGGTGTGCACAGGGAGCCCCGAAAATGTCATACCAGGGGAAGATCAAAGGTAAAAGGCGCTCAGGAGCTGATAGTTGGAAGAAATTAGGGCGCCCTCGGTACCTGCAGGCATTAATCTCCCTCCCCCAAGGCAGGAGGAACAGCCCCAGGTGCCCTCCAGGGGGGATAAGCACAGAGGGTGTCGTCCACAATCTGTCCTCCTGGCTCAAAACACGAGAAAGCAGAGGGAAGAAAGTCTTCTCCCCTAAAAGCAGATGTGCTTTCACCTCCTGGGTCTACGAACTGGAGAAAAAATGATTTTTCTTAAATTGTATCCTGCTGCATGGTGTTATTCAAGAGTCATTAGCACGTTACCCGTAATTAGGAACGAATGGGTTGTGTCAAATTCATCATGCTCCTGGATGGCTCCCTTTGATCAGCAAATTATCCCATAAAAAAAGTTTGTAATGTCTCAGACACTTACGTCAAGAGCTGATGCCGTTCGGCTTTGCCCTCCTCGAGAGCAGCAGGGCTCGGGGCTGAGGAAGAGGATGAGGAAGAGGACGGTGACCCTGCCCCATGGAGGGGCAGCTCACACCGAGAGCCCCCAGACCCACTGGATGCCTGGGGCAGGAAGGATTTGAACCTCGAATCTTGGATTTTGCTCGTTTCATTATTCTAGCTTTTTGCCTTCCTCTTTTGAGCATGAAAAATCTCCGTTGCACCATTTTGGACGCGGTTTCGCCAGCGCCTCGATACATTCTGCACTACTGCTCTAATGAGGCAGCACTACAGCACAGGGCCCGTAATAAAACAACCTGTAGCTACCCTGGTTTCCACACGAGCATTTTTAAAGCTGACCACAAACCTGGGAAGTACCCGGACAAGCTGGCAGCATGCTGGAGGAAGCCCCCCCCCAGATTCAGCGCTCCCATCTCTGCCCACTTTTGGTGCTGCCCCATCCGCGAGCTGCTCTGCAGCTGAGCTCCCGAGCACCAGGAAGGCTAAAAGAAGCAGGGGGGGTAAATAAAACACACCTCGGATGTGCCCACAGAGGGGACACCCCCAGCCCCATGATGCACGGAGATGGAGGCTGCACCAGCCGGCACGGAGAGGCTGCTTTTGGCTGCCTCCCCCCGGCAAGGATCGCAAAATTCACCTTTTTTCCCCCTGGGGAAACAAAGTTTGCGACCAGGCCCAGGTGATGGAGGAGGCAGGGAGAGAAAAGCACGGCTCACCAGCAGCGGTTGGGATGCCTGAATCCCACTTCAGCCCCTGAGTTATCCCCTTGTCCTTTATCTTCCAGCTTTTACTCCACGAAAGCTGCTAGCGACGAACCTCTCCAAGATCATCGCCGCCTGCTCCGACGGAGAAGCAGCAGGTGAAGAGCTTCCAAAGTTTGGCGAGGACGGAGACACCCCTGGGTCTAAAAGCACTCCTCAAAAACCCGAAAGCTCAATGGAAAGATCTCTGCCAGGGTATTTTGTAGCTCCCTTGCCCCAGCAGGTATTTTGTTTCGCAGCGTTGCCGGTGCCGGGACGCTGCAGCTGCCGGAGCCAAAAGCGCAGCCACTGCTCCCTGCCCAGCCCAGGGTGGGACCCGCCACCCAAAAATAGTGGAGGGAGTTTCCACCTGGACGGGATCAAAGCTTCGCACGGGGTTTAAACCTCCAGCGCCTTAAAAACCGCCCTAAAAATTACACCAAGCCCAGGATTTTGCGAGGAAAGGGGGCAGAGCATCGGCAGCCTCGATCTCCTCTTTTCCCTCCGCTCCTTTTGGAAGATAAAAAGAGGTCGGGAAGGGACGAAAAAATTAAAACAGACTTTTTACACTAGCCTCATAAAAAATGACATCGTCGCATTCCAGAATTAGAGCCATTAAAACAACACACACACACGGATATTTTTAGCTGGATATTAGCAGTAAATGATGCCATATTGAAAAGCACTTCCACCCGGCCCAGCCCCGGTCTGGCTTAACCAGAACCAAATGGCTCGAAGAGATCAGAATTAACAAAATGACACAATTCTTCACAGGGAGAGAAGAAAAAAAAATAAAGAAGAAAAAAAAAGGCCTTTTTGCAACCAGCTCCGTGCCTCTCTCCCGGCCCCAGCTGTTCTCCCTTTCGCGGCACACACTAATACTTCTGGACTTTATTCCTCCACTCTTGACTCTTCGATCCTCCCAGGCGAGGGGTTAAACCCATTTCCACTAATGAAGAACACAAGGAACAAGCTCCCGACAATCCCACCCCTCCCTCCGCCCCACAAAAAAGCAGGAAAAAAAGGAAAAAAAAAAACAACACCAAACCCTCCTGCATTCGTAGTCAGTAAAATATGAAATACGAATCAAGGAACCTAATAGAGAGATGAGTTTCACTTAAGTGCTCCAGCCTCGTTTTTATCTTAAATACCCTAATAATAGCGGATTACACAATATATTTGAGATGTGATCACATGTTTTATGGAACGGTATCTTTCCCATCGCGGCAAAGTGCCTCTCCTCCCCCCATCCACACCCTTCTCCAACTGCAGAAAAAGTCCGATTCGCTTCTTTGAAAAGCCTCAGTTTTGTTTAATAACTTACCACCGATTTTACATGCGTCTGCAATAAACTGTAAATATATATATATATTTTTTTTCTTACTTTCTGCCTAATAAAAAAACCCCAGAGCAATGCTGGACTCGCTGGGTTTTCCAGATGGCTCCCTTTCTGTAGGGCTGCAAGTTGGGAAGCGCTACCGTGCAGGCCTGCACAGTCGGATTTTAGGGTGGAATTTGAAAAAAAACAAACAAAAACCACACCAACACACCCCAGCGCCGAGGAAACCCGAGCCAGGCGCGCTCTGCTCAGCACCCTGCGGCACCGTGCAAGGTGCCCCGAGTTTGTGTGGCCTCTGCTTTCCTCGGGGACACCGGGGAGGCTCTGAATGGCCCCTATTTAAAAGCGGCGGGGGGGCAAACCCTACAGTGTTTTTTTTTTGCGGCCCTACTTTGGGCAGCAAACGCAAATAAATCCAGGCGGTGACGGCTGAGGGAGGTGCAACGAGCGCGTGGGGCCCCCAGATTTCCGCAGCCATTTGGGGACTCCCCCACACCCCAAAAACCCCAACCCATCGGGATTTGCCTCAGCGTGGCCCCAAACATCACCCATCAACGGGGGGGTCCCCAAACCCCTGTCATCCCCCCCCAAAACCCCCATCTTGAAGCCGGGCCGGGTCGGTGCCGTGCCCCCCGCTTCCTGCCTGGCGAGGATTAACGGGGAGGGGGCCGGGGCCGGCCCCCACCTCCCAAAAACTCATTCATGCGCCCAGGCGGCGGGCCCTTTGGAGGCCGGGTGCGGGATGGCGGCTCGCTGGAGGTCTCCTGCCCGTTCCCACAGCAACGGTGCTGGGAGATGCCGGGGGGCCGGGCAGCCCTCCCATGCCCCCGGCCGACCTCTCCCCTCCGCCAGCCCCGGCACAATGCGAGCCCTGCGGCCTATTCAAGCTTTTCAGCCCCGGGGGCCCCCTCCATTGAAATCCAGGGATTTAACCCCAAACGCCGAGGCCCTCGAGGCCCGGCCGCTGCTGGAGGAGCTGGGGAGTAAAAGGGAAGGGGGCTGGAATGGCTGCCGGGGGGGGGGGGACAGACGGACAGGCAGAGGGCTGGGATGTGGGGACAGGACACACGTGGCAGCCCCAAGTGGGTTCTGAGCACCCCACAGCTTGAAAATCCCTCCCCAAAAAGTCCCTCTCCTGCCCACGTGAATCCAAGCGGCCTCCACAGGGACGCATTTCAATCCCAAACTTCTCCCCCCTGCCCCGGTTTGGGACACGGTGGCACCCGTGGGAGCTGGGTGCCCACAGACCTCAGGCACCAAAGGTCCAAGCCACCCCTCCTTGCACCAGAAGGTACAAAAAACCCCAAAACCTAAGGGCAGAGCACGAGGCCCCCCTTGGGGACCACCCCATCCAACCAACCCCTTGAGCTTTAAGCCACCGCTGGCTCCTCGAGCCCAGGTGGGGGCACTCGGGTGGGTTTCTGACCCCCACCCAACAGCGTTCACACACAATTAATTAAGAAAAAGCAGCACGAGGCGACATTTCGGGAGCCGGGCCGGGGGGAGATGTCAGACAGGAGCACCCAAGGGTGCAGGAGCGCTGGGGGGCGAATGCTGGATGCTCCCGTGGATGGTGTAAGGCCTCCATGAGGCACCTAATTGTGCAAAACTCCCTGTACGGGGCCATTTATCCCTGACCCCAGCTGCCGCTCAGCCCCGCGCCCTGGAGCATGAAGATTGATGGTCCTCGGGATGTCCCCCCCCTTACCCCCCCGGCCCCGAGGTGCTGTCATTGCGGATGTCATTCGGGTTTGGAAGTTCACCAAAGCCTCTCCCTTCATAACAACACGTGCCAGAGACCTTCCCAGGGTCATTACAGAGGGAACCCCGAGGGAGAGACACCAAACGAAGCCCAGGTGCCAGGCAGGGCAGGATTTGGGGACTGAGCTGGGAGAAAACCCACAAGGATTTGGGGACGCGGCACCAGGGGACAGCCACGGGGACGAGCCAAAAGCACCAGCACCCCACAGAAAACCCTTTTTCCCTTTCCTACAGAACAGGCAACCACTTTGCCAGCGTGCCACCCGCTCACGCTGCCTTGGCCATATAGGAACAAGCGTCCCCAATTCCTCCTGGCTCCAGCAAAGGGAAATTCGGGGCCGTCCCCCGCGCGGGGAGGGAGGGGAGCGCGGCGGCGCGTTCGGCAGGGGTGACTTGCAGCAGCATTACACGCATGATTACCCTTCAGATCAGGGGAACAGGGGCTTAACTGCGTGAGAAACGGCTGTTATTCAGGTAATGGATTTACAGCACTCACTACTAAAGTATCAGACACAGCAATTTTTTACAGCTTTCACGCTGGAATTTATGGCTCAGGGAGGCGATCTCCATACGAGGCAGGGATCATTGCCTTATTTAGTATCCGAGGAGGAAAATTTATGTTTTCGCCCAAGTTTGTTTTGAAAGGTAACCTGCAGGCACGCACACGCAGCCCCCTTCCCCGCGGGCGCGCAGGCAGAGCACCGGGTGCCCCGGGGGGGGACACGCACCGAGAGGGCTCCTGCGAGGTGCACACGTGTGCGTGCAAGGACAGAGCTCATGCACACGGCTGCCACACGTGTTTTAGGCTGTCACACATGTTTTAGGCTGTTCCGTGTATTTTAAACCACACGCACAAGGTTAATTCTTCATCTTAACGCACCGTGAGCCCCCAAAACTGGGGGAGCGCCTCTGCTCGCCCACCTGGATGCCTAAATGCTGCTCAGATCAAAACCTGTCCTTATTTTTTTATCATCACTGGGTCTTCATCTTGTCCCCAGAGCCCTCCTGCATCACTCCAAGGGGGTCGGAGCATGCTGACCCCACCAGCACAGGCAGGACCTGCTCCCCCCACCCCAAAACACAGCCACCTGCAGCAGGGACGGCCAGGGGCCACCTCCAGCACCTGCAGCCCTCAATAAGGATGGGTGCAAAGAGACCGGGGCTGGTGCAACCAGCCCTGGGGACACGGGGAGGGTAGAAACTAGAATTGCCCCAACCCTAAATACTCAGAACCCCCCCCAAAAGCTTGTCTAGAGAGGTTGTGGAGGTTCCTCCTTGGAGATCTCCAAAAGCTGCTTGGACGCGGTGCTGGGCACCCTGCTCGGGGGTGGCCCTGGTGGCACACGGGGTGGCCCGGGTGGACCCAGAGGTCCCTGAACCTTTCCCATATTTTGGGATGAGCTCATGGAGGCACCACAGCGCGCCGGGGCGTCCGTCCTACCTGCTGCTGCTGGAAGTGCAGGAGCTCCACCGGGCTCATCTCTCCGTTGGCTTCCCCGCTGGCGGCTCCTTCTCTCCCCCCACCGCCCCCGCCGCCATCGGGCTGGTTGGTGAGGCTGCTGACCCCGTTCTGGCCGGAGGGAGTGGAGCGTATCGTCTCCGAGGCGGATTCAACCATCATGACTTGCTAGCAGGACCTGAGGAGCGAGGAGGGAGAAAAGTAGAGGCTGAGAAGAGAAATCGAGCCACCCCCCGCTGCTGGCACCCCAACTTCTGCCCCTGTGTCCATTCCGTGGTCAGGCTACACCCAGTTTTAGCTGAGGTCACTGCACTCCAAAAAAAAATATGTTTTTAAAAAAGGGGGGAAAAAAAAAGAAAAAAGTTCTCAGAAAATCAAATGTGGGGCAGGCGGGTGCGGGCAGTGGCACGAGCTGTCCCCAAGGCGCTGCCAGCCAGGGTGCCCCGTCCCCTGGGGAACCGCTGTGCTTTTTGGCTCTCCCCCTGCCTGACGGAAACCCTGCAAGCTGCGAATTTTTCACAGAACCAGGAATTCCAAAATGTTTTGCTCGGCGAAGGCAGAAGTGGCAAAGTTGCAGAGTTTCGATGCGGCCGAAAACCGAGCACGTGGAGCCTGCGCTGTGCGTTTCGCCCTGAAAACCTCGACAATCTCCACCGAGCCCCTGTGGAGCATCTCAGCTCCGGCACCCAGCACCCTCCTTCCCTGCTCCAGCCCCTGGCAGCAGCGTTTGTGTCTCTTGAGCTTCGTTTCCCCCAAATACAGGCTCTAGGAAGGCACACCACTTTTCTGCATCCAGGGCTTTTATCCCTGAGCACCGTCCCGTGACGCAGGGCAGAGGATCAGGGTCCTGCGTCCCACTCCAGCCATCTCAGGGACCATCCAGGGCTCGGTTTCCCCAGCACGAGCACCCGAAGCACCGCACGGAGCCGGGGGGGCACCAGCAGGAGCCGGAGAGGCCGCGGGCTGGGGAATTTGGTGGTGCTGGGGCGTCACGGCCGGCTGCACGAGCACCGAGTGCTCGCCGCCGAGCGTCCCGCGGAGCCGCTTTGTAAGGCAGCGCAGCCTGGCTAGGGGAGGGACTCCCGAGGAGTTGCAGGGAGTGGTTTCGGAGAGACCTCAGTTGGGTTTAATTAGTGGGTACCTCGTTAGCTGTAAAGCTCAGGGTCCCCCCGTGCAAAGCGCAGGACATTTGCAGGATCCCCTCCGGTGAAAGCCCCGCGCATCCTCGTGTCCCCCCCTGGGCTCTGCGCAGGAGCAGCGTGGGGACGCTGCGGGACTCGGGGATGGGATCCACCTGCAGGAGTGCCGGGTCCAGGAGGAAGGAAAACCCTTGGGACTTGGGAACGGGGAGCACCCCCAGACCCAACCCGCAGAGCTGCAACCCCCTGGCTCCCAGGGGCCACATCCAGCCCCGAGCAGCTGGGAGCAGGCAGGAGGCAGGGTGCTGGGTCTCTCCCTCCCTCCCGACACACGTTTTGCCCTGCAGAAGGGCAGAGGACGCAGTTTTACCCCCACTTTTCTCTCTTCTTTCCCCACATCAGAACCAAAACGGCGTCGACCACCACCGCTCGGAGCCAGCCCGCGACTTCGAAACAGGAGGGGAACAAATAAAGCAAGAGGGACGGGGAGAAGGAACACCATTCCTCCCTTTTTTTCTTCTCTTTTTTCCCCCCTTCTTCCCCCACCCCGCCCCAAAAGACAGAACGACAAACCGCGAACAACATAATTGCTGAAATGTGGCGTGTAATAATAGCTATTCAGGAGCTGATCATTCATATTAAACAGGGTGAAGCAAGCTTCTCATTTGCATGTTTGAGATTATATGCATTTCAAAAGTCATTTCCGCAGGGTATATGACTGACATTAATTCCCATGCGGAGCTGCTGGCTCCCTCTCCGCAGCCCGCGCGCCGCAAGCACGCGCGTGTGCACGTTGCACGGGGACGCACCGGCAGCCCCGGGAGAGCTCAAGGTTAAGGGGATTACGGCGTTCCAGCTGCCTCCGAAGGGCAGGGCGAAGGAAAGGATGCTCGCCTGCAGGTGCTGAGTGAGGAGAGAAAAAGCTGCAGGAGACGGAGCCCCCGTTTGCTCCGATTTTGCCCCAAATTCCTCCCTCCGAGCACCACGGGGCTTTCAGCCTGGTTAGCGAAGGTGCCCAGAAGGGAAGGGAGCCCTTGAAGGCAAGAAAACACCTTTTGCCCTTGAAAACCATGTTTGCTCGCTGGCCCCTCAACACCCCACAAGAGCCTTTAGAAAAAATAAATTTGGTTTTGTTACTTTTCTCGCTTTCCTTCAGAAAAGCCCCAGCTCCGAAGGCGCGCAGCCCCGCGGTGACCGGGCCCGTCCCGGAGTCACAAGGTATCACCACGGCCAAAAAACTCAGCAGGATTCAAAAAAAAAATAAAAAAAGAAGGATTTGACTTTTATATGGAGAACAAGAATATCCAGAGTTACAACAGGAAGTATTAAAAAAGGCCAAAAAAAAAAAAAAAAAGAGGAAGAAAAAAGTTTTGGAAAGGATATAAACTTTCCTGGCTTCGGGGCATAAATTGAAGCCTAACTATTGGGAATTAGGAGGAAATCTCTTCCCATCGAGGAGCTGGAGCCGGGGGCTTGCTTCGCCTTCCCCCAGCAGGGCCGGGATGCTGCAGCAGATGCGGCAGAGCCGGGCGAATCCCGCAGCCAGCGCCGGTCCCTTTCCAAGCCTAGTAAAGTCGCCTTCCCGCTCGCAAACCCGACCGGGACGGGGGTGTGTTTGGGTTCCCAGCGCCGCGAGGGAAGTCATAAAAGCAAGCAATAATAATAACCATGAAAATATTTCCATTCACATAAAACTTTTACAAAACCTTAAAGGAAAAAAAAAATATATATATATATATATAATGTGATGAAGCCAAGGGCTGCGGCGCTGCTGTGATTTAGGATGGAGCAGGCGCTGGGCTCCGTAAGTGCCCCGGCACATGTGCGGCCCCGCGCGCGGACGGAGGTCTGTGCAGCATCACAGCGCCGGCTTTTCATCTATTTTCGTTCGCCCCAGACAGGCAATATTTTAGGGATTCTCCTTCACGCCGGGATCCGGAGGGTCTAATCGGGATCAGACCTTCCCCCCAGGCACCAAGGCATGGCCCCTGGCCAGACCGTCCCCGCCGCCGGCAGATCCGACAGCCAGATAAAGTACAAAATGATGGTTTTACTTAAAAGGGGAGGGGAGGGGACCCCTCTAATGGCAATGAGCAACAGAAGCTGCGCAAATGGATCGCTAATTACCATCGCAGCCTCAAAACCATTTCACTGAACGAGCGCTCTTCCTTTTTTTTTTTTCCTCCCCCCTTTTACTTAAGTGCGCACCTTTCGCAGGACAAAGAAAGGGAAGTGGAATTGCAAATAAAGAATCCCCCAGCCTTTAGCAGGACCATATGGCGATGAGAGTGTATTAATTACGGTCGCTTTTAATTAACAATTGCTTCATCTGAGCAGTAACATTTCCTTGACATCCCCTGACTTGCCGCTAACCTGCGAAGCGCCCGCGCCACGCCAAGTCATCAATTCAGTTTTATTGACCCCCCCCCCCAAAAAAAAACAGGCACAATACCAGGGCTTTCCAATTAACACCTCCACACTCTCTAATTAGCACAATTAACAGCCTGATAGATGCCCACAGCTTCCCCGGGAGGGCAGGCACAGATCAGGGGGTTTGCTGCCGGACAGGGTGCGCATGTGGCCATCCCGTGGGGGCCTGCGCACCACAACACAAAGCATTTGGGACCCTTGGTGGCCAGGGGAGGATGAATTTGGGGCAAAGACTCATGCAGGAGGATGTGGGAGCCACGCTCAGGGCTCACGGGTCTTTATAAGAGACTGAGGCATCTGCTCCGGAGGACTTTTGGGACACCCCAACCCACCCACCGCGGTGAGGCTGCTTCTCCTCCACCCAACTCGGCGCAACGGATGCAAACACAAACAGCGCTGCTCGGCCCCCGGGACACACACAAAAGCAGGCACATCCCAGGCCGCGAGCTCCTAAGAAGCCCAAACACCTATTTTAGCTGCCTCCCCTATTTTATATACCCTTTTTACAGCGGTCCTCGGGGGCTCCGTAACTTTGCGCCGCCCTTCGCGAGCCTGCGCTCGCGCTGCTGCCACCCCAAACCAGAGCCTGGCATGGGTGGGGAAACGAAGGACACAGCCCCCAATAGCATCCAAATGCCCAAATCGAAGCAGGGGCAAGAGCAGAGGCAGGCGAGGAATTATTCCTAGGGGGGCCGAGGGAAGTTACGGCACGGTTTTGTGGGATCGCATCGTGCCAGCACAGAACAAGCCGATGACACCAGCCATTTGCAAGCAAACCCCAATTGCGCTTCTCCGGAGGCTTTTTCCACCCCTCTCTCCACCCCCCAGCCCCAAACCGATCTCCCCAACCCTTTTATCCAGCTCCATCCTCGCCAGGCTGCGGAGACGAGGACGGGGGCACCCCGCGGCACCGCAGCTCGCCGCCAACCTCTCCGGCGGGCACCAGCAGCATCGGCACGAACCGAGCAAATCCCCCAAAGGCTGGGCAGCAGCGGGGACAGATCCAGGACTGCCACAAATCTGGCTACACCAGGACCTTCAGGGATCCCACGCCGTGGTGGGATGCTCCCCGTGCTGCTGGGAGCAGGCGCGCGCGTGCACGAGGCTGGGGCGCAGGCAGTGGATTTGCTCCGAGCCATGGGAAGTTGAGCAACTTGCCTGGCTGGATCCGGCACCGAGCGAGGCTCGGGGAAGTGGCTGGCTAATCTTAAAAGGCTTTGGCTCGGCGAGGAGAAGCAGCAGCCGGGATTGCTCGGAGAATGGCTTTTTACCCTTTAATTAACACATAAACACATGGAAATGTGGAAAGGGGATTAAAATACAAGTCTAGGGGAGCTAAAATGAATCTAAAGCATTACTGTAAATTAGAAGAGATTTAAGGAACCAAGGATTGGCTAAGCCCAGGCACCGCTTTAATGGGATCACACCTCTGGGCACTTTCATCTCCCACTTTCATCTTGCTCCCAGCAACTTCCCTGGGCAGGACCGCGAGCTCTGGGTGCTGCTCCCCATCCGCAGCTCTCCCCGGGGCCACCCCAAAGCCTCCCTCACCCCAGCTGGGTTCACGAGCACCCCGGGGCCATCAGGCAGCGGCGAGCATTTGCCGCTA